TTCTTGAGAGATAGTGTCAAACAAGGGCTTTCCCAGCCGCCTGGGAACGCTGTGACCTTGGGCACGTTACTGAACCTCTCAGGCTGTTTCTTATCTGTGAATGGGGGGTCACAGTAGCTGGCTTGTACACGGAGCACTTAGCACAGGCCTATCACAGTCAATAATGGTCAGCTGTTACTGCATCATTGAAAACCCCAGGGACTTGTGTAGCGCTACCCAGCAGACACCAAATTTGTATCACGTGTTTAGCACCTGTATCCCAGAACTGTAATTTTTTCTGGCACCCTTACATTCTCTACATGGCCTTGCATATGGGTGTTTGTTAAATGGAAATGCACTTTGTATAGATTCCGCTACTAGGTGACCTTTGTTGCACAGGCTGAGAGAAATCGGAATTACTTGGTAAAAACAACAGCAAACGATCACAGTCCAGAATCTGAAAAGGATGGAGGTCAAGTGTTTTAAATATGCTTCCACTGCCAGGAGGCCTAGAGGGGAAGTAAATTTGGGTGAAAACACTATCCTACACAGTTCTGGCAGCTTGAAGTTACTTAATTCCAGGGGGAACAGAGTAAGCACTTCCTTCAGAATCCATTAGGATGGATTGTTTTTAATCCAGATATCTGGCCTCAAACAGCTTTGGCAAACACCTATGCATCTCACCAAATTCCTGATCACATGAGGAGTATGGCCTAATGGTCAGAAACACTGGTAGCCTGAGTTTGAACCCCTTACCTACCTCTTAAGTCTTCTTTACTTCTTAGCCTAATTCCTTCTGTTAGAATTAATATTTGGCTGTTCTAATTATTATAAAGCCAAATAGGGGCTGGAGGAAATAGGAATGCCAGACTTGAGTAGGGAATCAAGGATTTGATTCAAGGTCCATTTGTTGCCATTTATTAATTCTGTGATCTCAGGCAAATAACCCTCTTTCCCACCCCGGTGTCTCCATCTGCAAAAGAAAGGAGCTAGATTTGGTGACCAATTTGGCATCCACTTCTGAAATTCTGTCATTTAACCAGATATCTCAGCATACTGTGGGAAATCAGCCCCATCCTCTCAAACCCAGGATCTCTTGATTTCTACTACAGAAGTTTTCTTACATATTGCTATTTGTGTAATCACCTAAGTGGAGCAGATACACTATAGATTTACATTAACAATAGTCTGATTATTTCTTTGTTGCTTTAAAATTAACAAGGATGAAATAAACAGGAAAAAAAAATGTTAATGAGCTCCTTAATTTATCCACCAAGATTGTTTTGATCTGAATAATGCATTTAAGTATCTAAAACACAATCATACCCAGAGTAACATGTTATATATAATAGTTGAGAAGAAAATCAGGAAATACAAATTTGTTACTGCAAGCAATTTTAATACAAAAGTGTGTCGTGTTTTTAAACAGTTCATTGGTAGAGCTTCAGTTTCTGCCTCAATTAAAACCAATTGAGATAATTACACAGCAACATGGTCGGAGCTGAAGAGGAACAGCAGCTAAAAAACGGGAGCCCCAGACAGCCCCTCTTCATGGTCACTTGGTCAGTTGACTTTATTACGCACAAAAAAAGACGGAAGCAAACGGGACTTGATAACAAGTGTGCTGGTGAACTCCTTTAAAGGACGAGCAAACGTTTGTCTTATGTCCACATTTTCAGAATAAGCTCGTGGAATTCATTCCTCAGTTTGTGGGAAGTTGATCGACCATTTAAATAAATAGGAAAAATGCAGATAAACAAATCTGTAATTCACAGTGCCACCAAGGAGTGTCCCCTTGCCAAGGGCCTGGGTCCTGGTGAGCACAGGAGTTATTGGTGGCTGGGTTGAATAGAAAGTTACAAACCAGGACTCTTAAAAACCCCAATGTTCTGACATCTTCGGAACAGTCACATTTACCCCTGAATTCTAGCAGCTATTGTCCTTTAAACACCCAGTACTGAAACAGGATTCAGAGTATTGCGATGAACTCCTTCTGCTGATCATGTGCAAACATTACCTAGAGGAGGTTCCCTCTCCTCAGCTAAAATCACACAGCATTAAAAACATTGGAAAAAGCAATTAGAAGTGCCCTCCCCTCAGTTCTTGCTAATTGAGGTGTCTGTGATTTACAAAAAAAGAGTTCCTTAAACACTGCAGGATTCTTATTATTTTTTTAATATAATTTATCTTGCTGAGACAGCAAGTCAAGTTTATAAAGAAGATGCATTTAGGAATAATCCTAAAAGATAAAGCAGGTTTACAACCCTGCACCGCGCAGAAACCCTATTTAGAGGCATTTTTTTTTTTTTTTAATACACATTCTCATCTTGACCTTTTCACTTGTTTTTCTCAAATATTTCATTTCTGGGCCCCATCCATTACAGGGTTACCAGGAGGCGAATTTTATCTACATAAATATTCACATGAAAATAGTAACTTACAAAAAGAAAAAAAATAAGGCAGCTTCATAACACAATTATTCTTTTACACTTTTAACAATATAACTTCTCCTGTTCAGAATAAATATACACCCAATGTACGGAGCAGGCTTCAAAGTGGATAGAGGCTTGGGGGTGCTTGTACAGTGTTATCGCTTGGGACCCGGAGTCCTGGGGGAGGCAGTGGTGGTCTTCTTAGACATGGTCGGGATTTTGGAAGGCTTGTTTAGCCCTCTTCTGGAGCTGCCCTGGCCTCCTGCAGCGCTGCTCTCCGAAGTATCTGAACAAGCAGACTGCGTCTCTAAAAGGTCAAAGTCAGAGGCATCGCTTCCTCGCCGGCTACTGGCCCGACTCCCGGCCCGACTCCCGGCTCGACTCCCAGGGCGACTGGCTGATTTTTTAGGGTCTGGAATTTGAGAATAAAGCAGCAGACTTAATAGAGACAACATGGGGGGTGGTGAGGACAAGCGACCAGAGGCTAGGGCTCTGATGTAAATACCACCAGATATGCTGTGTGATGTTGGGCAGATCAGAGCCTTTCTGGACCCCATCTTTTCATCTACACAGCAGCCACTGAAACCTTTTTGGGCTTTGTGATTCTGCTTGAGAAGCTTGCCTCCTGAGGATTAGACAGCAGCTTCTCTCAGCACAGTGACCTCCTGTGCCCCCAGAGTAGTGCCGAGTGGGGTTGCTCAGTCACCTGGGCATAGAGAGCCTGCTAGCAGGGGTGGGGGGTCAGGCAGGCAAACAGAAAGCCAGAAATGAGGCCAATTCCTGGACTCGCATGGGGAATATCAACAGGTGAACAGATGTGATCTTTCCCTGATGTTCTCTGCTTGCCAGTGGCTATAATAAATGCAGAATGTTGGAAAAATTACTAGCCAACTGCCAGCCCCAACACTGGGTGGCCTTCTGAGGAAAAGCCCACTTCAGGAGGTCCCTTCTGCCTTTTAGATTCTCTCAAATACAGTCATTTCTGGTCAAGAACAGGGGCCTGGCTTTAGCTGTGGACACATCTGCTCTTAGAAGGCATGGCTGCAGGCAGCTACAGTGGCAGGAGGGAAAGGAAAGAGTAGCAGAAAATCTGCAGGTCTCTCTTTGGACATCACATCTGTGTGCTGCTCTCATTATCTGCTTTCCTTGGGGAGCAGTGAAGCACCACCCAGAGGCTGCTGTCCCCCAGTTCTAAGCCTGGCCACTCCCCTTCCCCTTTCACCCCAGTGCACATGGATGGGGGCAGGCACTTACCTGCCCGATTTGTTCTGGCACCTGTGGAGGCTGGGGAAGAACTATTGCTGGTATCACCAGCGAGGGATGTGCGGCTAGAGTGAAGGGCTGGGGTTGGTCGTTTCAGCTTGCTCCCTGTTGATGGAATAACCTTAAAAAAAATTTTTTTAACAAGTTCTATTTACTAGGTGAAATTTTTGAAATTCAATCTGAAAAGGTCTATTTAAGCCTCCTTACACCTAACTGATTGAAAAGCAAATTAAAAGTCCAGGAAAACAAAGATTTTTGAAAGTGTCCTACGTCATATAGTTTGAGGATTCCACCCCAGAAAAGGTCTTATGTTCCAATTCAAAATTTCATGTCTTCTATATTTCTACTAGAAAGTTCCTGACAAATTTCCACCAGAAATGGCCAAAAAAAATCCAAATAATCCTGAGTGTCGAAGTGTTGGGGCTAGAAATTTCAAATATGCGTTCTAGCTCTAAATATTTCATATGGAGATGCCAATATCACTCCAACCTCTCTCACTGGATGGGTGCAGGAACTTCAGTCAAACCAAGATCTTTCAGTCCATTTCCCTCACTGGAAAAACTGCAGATAAGCACACTCTTTCTTTTTCAATCCACTGAGCCACCATGGTCTCCTCACTATTCCTCCCACCCTGTTTCTGTGTGGCTCACTCCCTTGTTTCTTTTGGGCGGACTGGCTGAATGACCCATCAGAGAGGTCTTGCCTCACTACTAGAGTGACACTCTAACTTTCTATTTTCTTCCCCTGCTTTATTTTCTGGCATATCACTCATTACCACCTGACATACGATAGATATCCTTGTTTGTGGTTTGTCTCGCCTGTATTAAAGTGTAAGCTCCATGAAAGCAGGGACTTTGTTCACTGTCACATCCTCAGCACCTAAAACAGTGTCTGGCACAGAAGAGGGGCTCAATAAAAACTTGCCGAATGAATAAATCATGTGTAGAAGCACTTCCTAATGGAAAAAGAGCTGGACAGATACACGTTATTACTACTGCTACCAGCAGGAGAAACATTTCCCATTTGAGTGTTTTGTTTTAAGACAGTAGTAGACTTAATTTGGAAGTCCTCATTAAGAATTTTTAAGTCTGTTTTAAATATCACTCATACCATAACACTATTCTAATTTTTCTTTGAAATAAATTGTGTAAACTGTTTTCCAGGACCTTTAAGATGTTCATACAAATGGAAGAGTAAAGCAACCTGTTTTCACTGTGTTTCTCATATTTAATTTAGGGAAAAAAAGCAAAAGCGACAGAAAGTGATTAACGGTCAAGCGCAAACGCTCCTGGCCCACACAGGAGGAGGAGCACCAGTTTCAGAAGCTACTGCTCGTGAGCATGCCGCTGGCGAGACCGCAGCCCTGGAGGCCCTGGGCTGGAGTCCACGTAGGGAAGCGGCCTGTAGAAAATACCCACAGGTAAGGAAAGATGAAACCTCGAAATGAGCAAAAGGTAAAACCTTAAGATGAAACAAAAAGGCTGATCTATTAGAATCCTGTGAGCATTTTGTACTTTATAAATACATTTAAAATTTTAGAACTTTTGAGACTTTCATGAAACTGGAGCCATTAAGGAAGAAGGAAAGCAAGATAAGCAGGTAGAGTCCTGGGGTTTTGGTGGCAGGAGGTCCCCAGATCATGTTCTAAACCAGACAGATTTCTGAACTGGAGCTTTAGCTCAGAGCGGATGAATCCCAAAGCAGCAGCCCATTCACAGGCACTGGCTTCTTACATCTCCTGCCTTCGCCTTCTGGGGCTGAAGCTTTGCATGACTGAAGGCAATGCTATCTTTTGAGGCACAAGGAACCAGTATTTCCCAGCAGGAGCTAGAATGCAAATTTTCCCGCTATCAGACAAGCCACTAGCCCATGTTTTGTTTCTGAAACACTGCTCTTCCACAAATGCTTTGGGCATTTTAATGACTGCACTCAAACATGCTTAACTGCCAGCATGTGTATTCAAATCAAGGCTTCAGACACCCAAGTGACTAGGCCACTAGTCACACATCCGCGTGACTTAAATTCAGAAGTTAAAATCTGAGCCTTGGAGCAGTGTTCGCTGATGCAGTGTTTGGCTGAAGAAGGCAGCACCCGCCCCTCACACCAGTTTGGCAGTATCAACCACCCTGAGGACATGGCTCAGGGCAGGGGACGCCAGCCGCTCTTCTGTTCTAGCAAAGATAGAACACTGCTGAACATGCACCGTAGTTGAATTTCAAGTGTTCATAACTCGTCTGTGTATCTGAGGTTTGGAGACTCCAAGAGGCCCGAGTTTTATGAATAATATCCATCAACGAATCACCAGGAATGACAATTGTTCATCACCCTGGAAAAACATCATTCTAAACACTGGCAGCAAGTTGTTAATCCAGTTTTAGGCATCTCTTGTTTATCTCCAATTTTGGTGAATCCGAGTTAGAAACCCCTGAAAAGCACTTGACTAGATGAATCGGCTGTGAGAGCAAGCACCACACAGATGGAAAAGAGCATGGACTTGTGTCAGGAAGAGGAGCCGATCCAGTTCTTGGCATTAGCGAGGGCCTCGTCGTGACCGTGTCCTTAGTCAGCAAAACCATACTCTACCTCGGGGCTGGGCAGCTGGAGGTCAGGATAATGGCTGTCCCTGACAGGGGTGCCAGCTTTACTGTTTACCAACCAGGGTTTGTCATAACAGCGAGGGAACTGAAGTGGAGTCTGCGAAACGGAAATCCAAAGGGAAGGATGGGAACAATTGAAAATGGAACAGAAAAGAAGCAAATTGGGAACACAAAAAAATAAATAGAAGACACTGAATTTTAAAGAAACAGAAAACAAAACAAAACGTGCATCAGTTTAACAGGATAAAAGGGACCAGGCAGAAAGGCAACAGCATACTTCATAAGTAACCCATCAAAACAACCAAATTTATTCGCTGGCTTCAGCTGCACAGAGAGTGCCTGGATTTCCAAAATTAGTAATTCTGGATGGGAGATTATGTGGAAAGAAGTGTTTCTGACTTAACGATCTGAGTTCATATTTTAATAATGTCCTTCAAAGTAAAATCTTAAAGGTCCTGTTCTCTACTGGGGCCTGGAGAGGCTGGTCTAGGTAGAGCTTGGTCAGTATATCTTCATGTTCCTCTCCTGGCTGGAGGCGTTCAGAGGCTACACTTAACACCAAACTTCTGTAAATATGGGAACAGGGACAAAGGCCATAAGAGAGGTCAGTGTCAGTACATACCTTGGTACCACTGGCTGGGGTGGCTGGAGAAGACGGCATGGATGTACAGCTGTGGTTACTCTGACTAGCACTGGAGCTGGAGCGGGTGGGGGAGGCAGCCCGCGAAGATGGTTTGGACCTTCGACCCCGTGATCGGAAAGGGGTCATTCCCTGGGATGCCCCCTCAGGCAGGATGAATTTCTCTCTAAGTTCGATGTTAGTTCTACCTCGTGCTAAAAAGGAACAAACACACACATACAATGTCAGTTAATCTTAAAAAAAAAAAAAATGTGTCTTTGATGGTCATACAGCTGCTTGACCCCATGATAACAGCTATGTAAGTTATAGATTTAGTACTATCTGTGGATTCTTTTAAAATAAATTCATGATTTGTCAGTCTGTCATGATTCTTACCCATAGCAATGAAGTAATAATACTCATTGGTTTGCCATGATAAAGAATTTTATATAAGAGATAGCATCTCATTCTGTGGTAATGATCTTGCCATGTCACTGTCCCCTGGGGTAAGCACACCGTAATGGGTCAAAGAAAGCAGATGCAGCAGTGCACAAACCTCTGACATTAGATCAAAACCCCTCTTTTCTCTCTCATAGTACATGTGTACTTTTTGCTCAGATTTTTGCAGGACAGTGGAGAAAAACAGATCATTGCAATCAACATTGTCCAGACTCTTATTTGAATTCAGTTGCTAACAATCCTCAGGGAAGCGGTCCAGGAACTCAGGATGGTAAAAAGACTGGGATAAAATCATTAAGAAGTAAACATGTGGGAGGAGAGAGAGAAAGATTGAGACCATGCACAAAACTTGCCAGTGAGAAATGTGAGATCAAAAACTGAAAGCGACAAGAAGCTTAAGGGACAATGGTGAGTGGCAGGAATGTCAGGTGGGAGGCGATCTGGAAACTGCTCTGAAGGCCAACAGGTGCTGTCCCATGGTTTTCTGGAGCTGTATAACCAGAACTTAAAATTTGGATTCGGTCAGAGGATTCCAAGGATGACCAACGTAAATGTGAAAGACACTGCTAATTTAAAAGAAATAATTCCTCTGGAATATGTCCTTAGATTATTTCTCACCAAAAGGGTTTATCCTGTAATAACTTCCTCCCTCCTTCATCTATCCTAAACTGTTCACTTTTTAGAATACGCTAGATAGATCTGAACAACAGGACCTCTGGTGAAACTTGGGAAAAGAACTGTTATAAACAAAATGTTTGTCATTCTTTTCTAGTAAGATTTTTCACTCTGGCCAGGAACCATGGGTTTAGCAGATTTGAGGTACCTGTGCCCACCCCCCTCTTCTGCCCAAACCTGCAGGTTTTCAAGGGAACTGAGGAATTTTGGTACAATGAGATTTTAAATCAGGTTTCATGGGTGTCCAAGCAGTGTATTACCAAATTCCTAGATCAAATTCTTCTCAATATATTATGTTGACATAACATATCAAAGCGTCAGGTTAAAAGGGCCAATGTGGGTATCAAAACCTGAGTTACAATCTAGGCTCAACTACCAACCAGGTCTTCCTGCCCTGGGCCTCAGTTTCCTCCGGCTGATCCCATTGTCTCGATGGCCTATGAACGCTGTTTCCTTCCTCCTCAGGCCCCAACAGCATGTGCCCCTCAAGGCTCATTCCTTGTCCCTGGGTTCTCTACTCATGCATTTTCTGGACTTCAGTGTTTTCCCCTGTGTCTACACTAAAGATTCTCCAAGAGAATTTCCTTCAGCACTAACATGGGAACTTCAGTAAGAGTTCTCATCACTAATAACTGTGGGTTCAGGACTTACATTTCTTTATTTTGTGTTTGCTGAAGTGCCCAGCGTAACAGTGGACACACAACAAAGGCACTAAGATAATAGTGATGAATAAAAATCATTACTTAGCTGAGGATTCACCCCAAAAGAAATGCTTATGTCCCTGGGCTGTACAGAACTTCAGTCGTGTAATTTAAACCTAGTAAACATTTAACAGTTTACTTGTGCACTGGCTCCCCCAGACAAAAACAACAGAGTGATACAAGAGGAAGACTCTGAAGCAGGACCTCAGGTGAGCGCCACAGCATTACATTTAAAATGTAATGATATGATATCATGTTGCTCGTGCACTGCACAATTTACAGAATGTGATCACAAGCAGTAGGGCACTTGACTGTCACCAGGGACCTGTTAGCATCCCTGTCACAGACAAAGGAACTGAAGCACTCACAAGGCTGAGGTCAAGGAGAGCTGTGGTAGGGCTAGGACTAGAAGCCACGTCTCCACCTGAGCTCTCTCCCCGCCCCACGCTCCTCACATCCTCATCTACACTAGCGGTTCTCCACTCGTCCCTTACCTCACTCAGGCTCCCGTCCCCACCACAGCACCTAAATCACTCTGCCAAGTTATTACTGATAGCTTTAAACTGTACAAAGGTTGAAATATACAGAAAAGTACAACGAGAATAAAAATTCCTTCATCTTACAACCTAAGGGACATCACTTACAATGATGGTGTGTCTTTATTCCTGTGCACAACTGTGTATGTGTACATATATAATTTAATACAAAAACATCAGGAGCATTCCTCCATGCTTGACAGGTCTTGCTGCATGGCCTTATTTCATCATATGGACATCAATTTATTTAACCAACCCTACTAGTTATATTTTTAATTTGCTTACAATTTCTTAAACATCATATACAATGTCGTGACAAACTACTCGTAAAAGGTTTTTGTGCATATCGATGATTTCCTTAGGATAAATTTCTGTTAAGTGCATTTTCTGGGGAGAAAGAATGCACACAAGATTTTTGATACTTCTCAATTGATCTCCCAAATTTTATACCAACATACACTCTCCAAAATAATGCAGGAGTATACTGAAATTACTTCCTTCTGGCTAATGCTGTTATTCACATGTGCACACATATACATGTACAGATAAAAATCTAATAATCTGACAAGTAAAAACACCTCTCTGCTGTTGTAATTTCCATGTGGGGGGATAACTGCTCTTGTCTTGAAATACTCTCTTCCCTTGGCTCCCAGGACACTCTCTCTCCTGCTTTTCCTCCTTCCCGCCCATTATCAAACACTGATGTCCCCTGCTTCTGTCTGTAGTCCTGTTCTCCCTCTTAGTTTTTTAACCCGGTGGCGATGAGCTCACCGACCTGACACCTCATTGCCATCATACAGTCGTGCCTGACTCCAAACGTGTCCCGTGAGCAGACCCTTTGCTGGATCACAGAATCTTATACCCAGTGACTGATTAGACATGATCAGAGCCAGAAACCAGGGGGGTAGTGTAGGTCTCTCCTTCCTGATGGCAGTTTGGCCTCCTGATTCTATCCTCTAAAGCTCATCAAATCCCCAGTGCATTCCCACACCCCCAAACCTCCTTACACTTATGTGGATCATGGGCTATCTCTTCCACCATGCACGGGATATAACAGGCTTCCAACTGGTCTCATTTCTCATCTCATCCCCTAGAACTGAATTTCTAAATAAAAACCTGATAACTCTAAATGGCCCAAAATCCTTCCATGGTCTTCCATTGTTTACAGCAGAATTTCCCAAACTAAGGTTTTCTGAGAGGGTTCCTACAAAAAGAGCTTAATAAACACCTTCCCCCTTTGGAAGAGCCTTAATGAGATTAGCATTTTGTGAGCTCTAGGGAGACCTACAGTAAAGAAACCTGCCTTAGCTTTAAGCCAGTGTTTTCCAAAAACACTTAACTGTAATTTTTTGAAGATCACATATTGGAGACCAGGGCCCGAAGGCAACCATTCTAGTTTTTCAACACCAAAGGGGCCACCATTTTCTAAGGGACTTAGGCTGGCCACATGATGTTGGCTAGAACAGGCTGGCCAGTCACAATTGAGTTCTTAGCTCCTGTTTAATGGATATGGAAGTTCAGTTTTACAAGATAAAAAGAGGTCTGTGGATGTGTGATGGTAGCACAACAGTGTGAATGTACTTAATGCTGCTGAACGCTTCGAAAATAGTTAAGATGATAAATTTATGTTATGTATATTTTACAATAAAAAGAAAAGGAAAACAATCAGTTCTAAGCCAAATTGTCTTTTAAATCTTCATGAATGAAGTGTTCTAGATCTCCACTTATTTGGAGGAACTAATCTGTCTAGTGCTCAAAAACATATATAGTACCCTAAAAGTAGATCTGTTCTTAGGCAGGGCACTGTTTTCATCTCTATCCAAAACATCACGATCTCCTTTGCCATGGATGAATTCAGAAACTGAAACCTCCAATTTTGGCAATGTTGGGAACCTACCTAGTTGAATATTTTCACTGTATGTTTGGCTAAAGCAATGTGCGGTTTGAGAGCTCTCTCACTTTATTTTTTTAAGTTTATTTTCAGAGAGAGAGGCAGAGAGAGAGAGAGGCAGAGAGAATCCCAAGCAGGCTCTGCGCTGTCAGCACAGAGCCCTAGGTGGGGCTCAAACTCATGACCAGGAGATCATGACCTGAGCTGAAATCAAGAGTTGATGCTTAATTGACTGAGCCACCCAGGCGCTCCTCTCTTACTTTTTGTTTTAAATTTATTTTGAGAGACAGAAGAGTGAGTGGGGTAGGAGCAGGGAGAGAGAGAATCTCAAGCAGACTCTGCACTGTCAGCCTGGAGCCTGACACAGGGCTCGAATCCACGAACTATGAGATCATGAGCACAAACCATAGTCATGCTCAACCGACTGAGCCACCCAGGTGCCTCTCTCACTCACCTTTTTAAGCAGCTATGTAGCAGGAGGTAACAAATGACTGTGTGTGTTAGTATTATACTGTCATAAATTTTGTTCTATCCTCAGTCTAACATTCTCTATGGTCTAGACAGCCAAGGAAATGCAACACAAATGAATATAAAATCTACCCTAAGTGGTGCTTCTCGAAGCCACATGAATCTTCACAGAATCCTAGATAGCTTCAAGAACTCTCCTCTGTGATATTCACGCCCTCCCCAGTCACTTCTTACATCCACCACAGCCCATAAGTGTTCACCTCCTAGTGCAATTTTTTGATTAGAAATACTCATCCTGTCACTGGTAGAGTTATGATAACTAAGACTGCTGGGCAGTTCTGTACTCTGCAATCAGCCCAATCGAGAGGATTACTGAGTGCTAGGAGGTCATTCCTGGAGAGGCATAGAGGAAAGCCTTACCTTGTTTTCTCCAAGGGATGCTGAAAAGGCTACTATTTTCCACAGAATACAGGTACTAGACGGCCCTCCCAAACTTTCTTGGGGTTCCAGTTTTTAGCTATTAATGTAAGGACAAAGCAAGCAGTGTTCCCCTTGGCCATCAGCATAAAGTTATTGTAAACAGAGCAAGTAAAGCAGGCAGCAAACAGGCAACCAGATTCCAAAATGTCACATGCAGTATCTCTTCTGTTTATTTGTTTAGTCCAATCACACAAGACCCCCCCCCAAAAAAAACACGAACCAAACAAACAAAAAAAAAACCAACCCCAAAATCTTACTAATAGGTTTAGAAAAAAAATAATGTTGTCTTACTGAGTTATGGTTAAAATCCTATATATACATTGCTCCTGCTCCTGATGTAAAACCATGAAAGAGGACTTTTATATCAAGGAAATTAGTTTGCAACATAGTAACTTCTAAAACTGATTAAACACTTTCAAGTTTTTATCAGAATAGGTGCTTTTAAAATTAACTTTTTTTTAATTAATGAAAATTATTTTTGTTTACTGGAGTAATTGCAGAATGAGTTAAAATAAAAGAAGCTACTTATGGGCATATCTGAATTCATGTGAGAACTGCACCCTTTAGCTCTAAACACTTCAAAATAGGACTATAAATCACTTCCAAAGAAGTTATGTAACTGTACTGTAAACATTTCTACCAGGTTTATAAATATGCCTCACCAATTTAATTACACAGGCCGAACCAGCAATCCACACACACAAAGGGGAGGTGGTGGGTATGCCAGCCTCTGAGACACATGGCACCTTGATCAGGAGCACACACTTTAGAGCCAGACTGTCTTGGAACTGAATCCTGTTCTGCCATTTATTACTTGTCTGTCCTCAGGTAAGTTATTTAACTTTTCTGTGCTTTAGTTTCCTATTCTGTAAAATGGAGACAATATTGGTCTGCACCTCATAGCCGTGTAAATGTGTTATCATCTGTAAACTGCTTATAACAGCGTGTGGCATCTAAAAAGCTATGTAAGTATTTGTTAAATGTACAGAAACTCTGAACAAATTCCATGGGTACTGTTTCAACAGAAGGGTTCTATGCTCCATCAACTTATAACAGTTAGAAAAGCTAGGGCTTGGCTATTTCAAAGCATTCGTAAAGGCAGCAGATGCCACAGAGCCAAGAGGCACCACAGTTTAAGAAGCAAAGCCATTCTCAGTGGGCTGGGGTGTGGGTTAGGGGGACAAAGCTTAAAAGCCAACCTATGGGAGACTGACTGGAAATCGAAGAGCTGGAATCAGAGCGCTTTATTTTACTCCCAGGATGGTGAACTAGAATAAAAAAATAAACAAACACAAAGAAACAGAGACAGAGCAGGAAACGCAGAAACTGGTCAAGAAAGACAAACTGGCAGACAGTGGAGGAGCCTCCTGTATACCCACATGCAGCTTGGCCAGCAGGAAAAGGGAAAGGCCGCAGTTGAAGAGGGTTTAGCCACCGGAACCTGATCCCCTCTCCTCTGTTGCAGCCCTCACATGCCTGTAGCTGCAGCTGCCATCGTTCGCATGAAATTTCCCATCTTCTTTTGCCTTTGGGCTGGCATGCCCACCCTTTCAAGTTCAGCACCCCAGGGTCTTGCTTCAGTGATCACCTGTCTTAGAAGCATCTGCGCTGAGGGCTAGGTGTTCATTATCCCCTCTCCTAGCCATGGGAGATGCAGTCCTTCCCTGCATGGGAGGAGCCCAACACCCTCCCCAAGTTTCCGGCATAGGAATCAGGAGCACTAACCAGGAACTTCAGAGGCTTCATTAGGCTCCTTTCCAGGCTAGTGTTAATTTAACACCTCAAACCAAAACACTGGAAGATGCCAATAAATTCCTAATTCTTGTTACTGTATCTCAAGACCTGTCTCCCCTGACAGCATCCACCTCTCCGGCTTTCTCTTCTTGGTCTACTCAGGCACCCTCAAGTTCCAGTCTATGCTGGTGGAGTGACACCTAGGTAGCTTAACAAAGTAAAACCCAAACAGACCCACTACCAACACTTTGTGTAAGCATGAAAGATAAAGATCAGCGGTGAGGGAGTACCTAATGTGTAATTTATGTTCAGGAAGGTTCCTTACCTCGGCAGGGATCATTTTTCACTAAAAATTCATCCAGGGCCATCCATCCTCCACCAACTCGGACCATCACTGTGCTGCGCAGGATGCGGACCAGCCGCAGCTGCTGAGAGTCTCCAAACTGCAGGACCAAGGGGACAGTGATGAGTGAGTGTGTCCTAGAGCAGGCCGAGGCCTTCTTCCCAGAGCAGACTGTATTCAGACATGACACATGACAGTTTGACAGTCTGCAGGAGAATTTTAACTATTTGGCATTTTTCACAAAAGAATTTAAAATATGGAACAGCTGAGATATCAAGGTAAAGACCAGTGTCTTTCTATTGGGATCAAGTTAGCTTTTGGTAGTCATGCCTCTACTGTAGGGCAGGGCAGAGGATGGACAAATGTTAGTTCACCTCAGTTCTTTTAAACATTCTGCCCAAATTAAAACCCAGTAGTAAAATTCTTTGTTACGTTAGTTTGCTTTCATAAATGGTAGACATAAAGTAGATGTCAACTTCTGAATACAGTGCGCTCAAAAGGTAAATGAAGAACAGCAAATACTATTTCAAGCCTTAAGGAAACCCTTGCAAAGCCATCATTATTACGAGCTTAGAAGGAAAACTGATTTTCCACACAAGGTTTTCAGAAATAAGCCCTCTATATTCTCTAATTGTGAGGTCACCAAGCAGACAGTTTCTTCAGCTAAACAAATGATTATAGAATTTTACTAAAAAATTTAGTTGAAGAAAATAAAATTTTAATCTACCATGATTATATAGTATTCAACAATCAATTTCAGAGATTAAGACAAGTATGACTTTCTGATATTTATTTTTTCCTTTTTCCTCACCTAACATCCCTATTTCTTAGCCCCGTTAACATATGGAGTTTCCTACTGAATAAATTACCCTCTTCCTAAAATAAGAGGCAACAAAAGAGAATCATGCGGAGATCCCAAAACAAAAATCAAACATTTGGTTGGATAAATAGCATTCCTAAAATTATTTAATTCAAGGAGAATGCTGGGGTTGGGGTGGGGGCGGGGGAGTGAAGGGACTAATTAGTTAATTTACATTTTTAAACTTATAAAGAAGAACCACAACTTTGAAACAAGGCATAAAAATTGAAAATGCCAGAAAGGATGTTTGAGAAAGGCACATAACCAACCTCCCTGAAAATTAATATATTTGCAGTAATTCTCTGTATTACTCTGCACTGGCTCAAGTGCACTGTTTATATAGGCAGCAAGGTGACTGAAAAGTATTACCCCCCTCCCCAATCCTTTACTTTGAAAATGACTCCATTTTTGAATGACTATATCTCTCACCTACAGTTGTTAAGATTTTATACAGAGTGACCACAGCAACAGCATGGTGTAATATAAAAAGCACTGAAATGGGTGCTCAGAGATGTGAGGGAATAAACGTCCTGTCCTGGGAAGGAAGCTGCCTCTTGGGCCTCTGAGGGTGCCTCCCTCATCAGCTGGCCCAGCAGAAGAAACGGGGAGGCACCGCAAGAGGAATGGAGAATCCCACCACAACCAAGAGCAGTGACGCCAGAGTCACTAGTCGGGGTTCTCTCTGGCTTGGTGAGGAGAGGGAGGAAGTAAGGAACTCACTACATCCTCCACAGTGAGTCAGGAAGGGACTCCAAGAAGTACCTTATCCTTCTATTACTGTGCCCTGTACTTTATCTGTCAGTGCTTAGAATTACTTCACTTGACTCATTCCTCTTTAGTCCTAATTTTTTTTTCTGAAGTACTCTCTGAAAGATTCTAACTTGTTTCTGCTGAGCTGTAAGGAAAAGGGGGTTTGATCCAAGCCAGCAGCAAAAGTGGCTGGGGGGAGTTGAGGCCAGAGTAGAAGGGGCCATAGCAGCTCTAAAAATGGGGAGCTGTGCAAACCTGGCAAAGCTGGGCAGTGAGGAAGAGTCCCCAAAAATGTCTTGGGGTGACAGTAACTTGTTTCCTTCTCTTCACTGGAAAATCCCTTACAGTGACCTGGGTTCTTGCAGTGGCTCTGACACTAGCTGTGTGACTATCAGCATGGGATCCTTTGGGTCTCAGGTGCCTCATGCACAAAATGAACTCCAGGACTCTGTTTCCAATATTGGAGCTAACTCATCTGACCCTTACTGTCAGTGGAGCAGTAGAGGAGGAGGTCACTGCCACTTCAAGGACCCGCCGGCTGTGTGTGCAGGTTATTAGCAAACAGGTACAACTTTTAGGTATGACTTGGCACTTTCATGCAATGACATTTTAAACCCAGTTTCTTTCTATCCTCTGTTCTTCCCACTGGCCCAGAATGTTACTGGAGTGAATGACTGTTGCAATACCTAGAACCTAATATTGACTGAAGGCCTCAAATAAGCTCTTAGTGGTTCTGATTTCATATCACAAGACAGACTTTACCCATGCAACTTCCTTCCATTTGAAGGCACAGGACCCCAGAGCCCTCAAAAGATCTGTATGGTTAGAATTACCAAGCGGAGTCAAAAGCATTTAATCTTTTCTTGCAAGTCTAATTTGATCCCTGAGATTTTGGCTGGCTGGACATAATCAGCACACTTGAGGCTATGGTCAATCATGACTGCTACACTATAGTTCTCAGGCACCTTATAGTTATAAAACATGTAAATACAAGTAAATATTAATAAGGTCTTTAAATAGATGCAGTACTTAAGTACCCCAAGACTTTTTTGATTTATTGTACATTATAAAATTTGTGTTAACTGTCAAAAGACTGGTATAAATCAGAACTGTGCTGTTTGGTATTCTGATTTCCAAAACAGAAGTATAAGACCAGGTTGCTTTTAGAAACACGTTGGATTGATACCACAGCTTCAAATTCCCCTGAATCACATTACTTCAAACTCAGTCCAGCATAATACCATTTTTAGCCAATCTAATTTTAAATGGAAAATTTCATCTCCTTTAAAAAATAACGTACTTCTATCCTGCTGCTAAGACAGCTTTACAATATCAGCCCTGTTAGCAGTTTCTCCACTTGGTAAGACAACCAGATGTGACCCAGGCATGCTTCAGATTATGTCCTCTCCCCACAGCAAAGAACAGGCAGCACGAGCTACACAGACCATTTCCACCGAGGAGAATGTTGCAAGGCACACTGTACCTGATTGCCGAGGAAGAACTATAGACAAAAGAGTAAAGGATGGAGGAAATGGAAGAAAAAAAAAAACAGAACATTTTGTCAAATTAACACTAAGGAACAAAAATCATGCAATCACGTTACCAGTCTTCAAGCATATTCTTCGAGAGCTCCTGCCACAGGGGCGTGGTTTTACAAATTAATTAAGACCTAACTTTTCCACTCTATTGCTCTTGTTAATTCATGTCTCTCAAAGGCATTAAAAAAACAACAAGAAAATAAAAAGCAATAAGCAAGCACAAGATTGCTTAAAGTTTTATTAACTAGATGCCCTGGACTGGATCCAAGGCACAATCACCTAACACTCGCCAGCTAAAGAGCAGCCCAGGGTGGTTTTGGTGTACTTGGAAGACACTTTAACGTACTGATGGAACCTAGATTCCCTGTTTCTAACTCAGTACAAAAAGCTGTACAATCTGAACCCTCTTTACCAATCCTAGATTTTCCTTAGGACTTCAGAGAATCCAGATAAGCTGCTGAATATATTTAGAAGTGCTGTTTCAGATCCCTCCTATGCCCCAAGCCAGGTCCCAAAAGAAGCTAGAACACAGCATCATTCATGGTCAATTACGTCCACACTCAGCACAGCCTTCCAGGGAAGACTACTGAGGCTGGCGTCCCCTTAGTGCATCAGCTCAGAGCAGACAGAGCATCCTTTGGGACCTTGACAGAGTTCCTCCAGCCCCCTCTGAGCTCGGGAGCCACTCAGGCTCACAATGCTCAGCACTTTGGGGTAATCCGTCAGTCTTCAGGTAATTGTTGCCTTATCTTATGGAACAAGTGTCTCCATTTCCCTAAAGACTTTGGTCAGCAAAAGAGAGAACTTCAATATGTCTCCTATACTGGAACTCAAGTACAAGCCTCTGTTAGCTAAATATGATGGTATTTTTCAGATGGGACTATGTAGGGCACTAAGCTTAGCCCAGCAGGACACCTGACCTCTAGAACCTACAGACAGTGACCACATCTTAAGTCCTACTGGCTCTGGTCCTCCAAGCGTTGGTAGAGGGAAGGTGGGACCATCTGGTCAGCTGTGTGCCAGGTTACTTTCACCTGGAAGGACCATATAGGAGGAACAACTACCACAAAGGACTAGTTTTCTCTTCCTTACCCGATATTTATTCTCTCCAATCTGCTCCACCTGAAACCTTTTTGCACATTTGCACTGAGCCACTTGTCTTGTGACCTATTGGTTGTGAACAACAAAAAAAGAAAAGTGTGAGGGGTAAAACAAGACTTCCTCTTCAGAGAAACAAAGATTTTTACATGTAAACAGAAAGCTATTTGTTATGTCTCTTTTAGATATTTTAGATTTTTGATACATGTATTTATCCTTTATTCCAAATTAATACATGTCACACATTTGTTGGTCATACATTTGTTTCCAAGTTCCTTCAGAAAAATGTGCTAATATGCATGCATCAAAATCAAACCAAGTATAGCAAACTATGAACTGTTTTAAATTTAAACCTAGGAGCCTCAGAGTCCCCAGAGGTCAGTCCTGGGGTGTTCCAGGCCATACCCAAGACCTGCCCCGCTAACCTCTCCTTTTCTAGGATCAATAAATCCTGAGATCTCCATGTGTTACTAATGAATTTGCTATTTTCAATGTGATGGATGAGATTTTCAACATGGAGAAAATTTTTAACTAGGCAGAAAGGTTGGTTGGTATACACCGTGTTAAACATTACTTCACATTTTACTCCTTAAATGCTTTATTCGAAGACCACATGCTCCTGGATACTGACATAGAATGCCCAGGACTGACTGAGAGAGGACTTGTTCTAGGCAACATGGTGTCTGTGAACTGGAATGGGTGTGGTAAGTCTGTGAACATGGGAGGAACCACAGATGTGACTCATTTGAGTAAAAAGTCATCTAGACTGAAAGAGAGAGCTCAATAGCCAGAGATACTCTGGGGAATCATCCTCCAAATGGGAATTTGCCAAACAGGACTCCAAATAATGATCTTGTGACAGTTAAGTCACAGGGCTGATATGGTCATTGCACCCAACCACTATGGTCAAACATGTGCTCAAAATACAGTTATTTCCCATACCTCATCTTCAATTTTATCCGCGTCGGTTGTTGGGCGGTAAGCATCCTTGTTGGGATGCAGAGCAGCCACGAATTCATAGTAATCGATGTAGCCATCTCCATCTCGGTCAAAAATGTCAGCGACAGCAGTCATCTCTAACTTGGTGGTAGGAAACTCTGGAGAAAAGCAATCACATTTGGAACATTTTAACGAACAGTGCTTACTTGGCTTGCTGGAGGGCATATAAATACTTCTTGAAAGAAAAAAACATTTATGTCTTGCTTTTTGCTCAAAAATAATATATGCCCACTTAGAAGATATAATGTTATAAAGATACAGTACCCAGAGACTACTTACTGTTAAGTTTTTGGTGTTTTGATTATAGACTCCCTCCTCCCCCACTCAAAAGAAAAAAAGAAAAGAAAGAAAAAAAGGCAATATTTCAGGTATATTGAAAGATGTGATATTACAACTACCCACAGGCCTACCATCCACCATGAGAATTTACTTATCTGCTCCACTACTGCTGGATACTTCGATTATTTCAGAATAGTGACAATGTGGACTAGGATGAAGTTTTTTTCCTGTTTAGACAACTACCTTAGGCTCTTGAAAAACTGCTTCCCAAAGAAGTGTGAATATTTACAGTAGCCAGGGTGATTTATTAAAATGTGAATCAGATGGTCCCTCAGGTGAAAACCTCTGGTGGTTTCCCACTGTCCTGCTGCCTCTAGGATCAGAGGTCAGATCTGCTCTCTTCACCCAGGGCCTACCAGGCCCTGCACGAGTTGGCTGCTCTTGACCTTTCCAACTTCATCTCTTACCACTCCCCTAGATCATGACAGCCCAACCACATTAATCTTTCTATTCCTAGAACATGCCAAGTTCGTGCCCACCTCAGCGCTTGGAACCTGCTGTTCCCTTTGCCTCTCTTCCCTTAAATATCACCTCTGCAGATAGGCCTTCCTTGGCCACCCATGTAAAGTTGCACAGCTGTGAGATGTGCTCTGTGGCCCTGGCAAGTCACCTAGCTACTTTATGCCTCAATTATTTCTCTTGCTAAAAATAATTGAGATCATGTATTTTGTAAGCTGCATACAGATGTCAGAAACGGGTATTATGAAAAATTTTGAATTTCAAACACTTTACTTAGAACCTCATCGTTCACAAAAGTTGGCTCTTTAATCTACACCTCAAACAGGTTTTACTTGCCACTCTGTGTCAACAAGACCTTTTTTTTTTTTATTCCCAGCAAAATGAAATTCTTCTTTCCATCAAAATGATAGGCCAATTTTAATAATAAGCAGGTACATTACTTCCTCCCTAACCCTATTGCTTTAACTTCAGAAAGACTCTTTAGCCAGAATATCGCTTGCTTCTACCAAGTGCAAGGAATGCAGATGTGACCCATGTTTGGAAGTATGAGTGAACTCACTGGATGCTAGAATGCCATCAATAAACTCCTGACGTGTTATCTTCCCGTCCTGGTCCTTGTCAATTCGCCGGAAGAAATCCATCACCCGAGATTTTTTGTGATTCATCCAACGCATATACTTTTTCCTCCAGACATCGAAGTCAAAGTTGGCAAATTCCTTCAACTAGAGAGAAATCATAGGTGTCAACACGATTTATTCCTTTGGCTCTCAAATCTGCCCGGAGCATACCAAAACTTTCAGACATTCAGTAAAGCCATGCAGGCCTTCCGGAGGGGCATCAACAATGACATCCGCGTGCTCTTTGTGAAGGCACAATCTGGGTCCTTCACTTAAAGCTGTGATTGTTTACATGAGCTGTGGTATAGCGGAGCAGTGAGAGGAACGGTAACTGAACAACCACCATGGAAAATATGGAGCACGCGGAACAAGAATGGGTGGAACCAGCCTTGCTTTCCCTTTGCACTTTTCGAAGGATCACCTTCTCAGATGTAAGGGAATGGATTCTATCCCAGAAGAGAAGTCCTTAGCACTCCTCACTTATGTGATTTTGAAAAGAACTGTGGTCACACTGAGGCCCAGGTCGGAAGGCTCATGTTTCCCATCATTTTCTGAGATGAGAAAATTTGAGTTCTGGCTGGAAGCATTAAGAATCCAACCCGTGCGTGCAGCAAGCATGTTTCTTTGGAATGGTGCCAGAGGGGGCAAACTGCCCGTCTGACCTCCATGTGAAATATTTGGCTTTGGCAGAGGACAGCAGGCCTGAGCAGTGGGCAAGGCGAGGTTTAGCTGCTCGGACTACGTTGGTGAGACAGACTCAGAATGACTGAGACAGGGCAGCCGTTCTCCCCCTGGTCATTCAAACTCCAAAGTTGGAAGGAATAGGGAAAAAAGAAAAAGCCAAAAACCAAATATGCTTAAAACTCAACTGACCTACAGAAATAACAACAAAAAACACAGAACACTCACTTCCGGGCATAGCTGCTTTGATAGGCACAAATAAAAAAAATATAGAAGATATTAGAGGTTTGTTTTAGAAATTAGGAAGTGTAGTACTAGATTTTTTTAGGTTGGTGTTAATGATACTTCAAAAAGATTTGCTCTTCATCATTAGTGAATATTCAGAGAAATCACAAGGTCATAAAAGTTACCCTTGTTTCCTAATTGTGTAACTTACACCTTTACATAAAGGGCCCAATAATGGTTGTTAGTGTGATAAGCTGCACACCTGGAAGTAACTCAGCCAAGTTCTGCTTCTGATTCTTGACCACAGCCAGGTGCTGAGGAGGGTCGCATCACAGACCAGAGCCTCATGGACTGGCTGGTCGCTTGCTTGCTTGCCTTCCACAGCTAGGTGCTATGTACGACCTACTCTGTTGTGAGTGGTCTCCTCACCCATGAGCTTTCTCGTAGGGGGCCTGAAGGACACAGTACTGGCTCACCCTGGTCTGTCCTCTCCTTCTAGAGAAGTAGGTCAAGGTACACATAGTAAGAGGGCCTCAGAAGGTTAAGTCACCTCCCTCCAGGAAAGGATGCTTGGCAGGGCCTTACCTCTTCCAGTCTATCCAAGGCATCGTTCAGCTTCCGCTGCCGCTCCAGTGCTAGCAGCCACACCTGCTGCCAGCGGGCAGACAGCTGGTTGATTCGTGGGTTTTTCGCTTCAGACTGTGAAAGGATTGGCATGGGAGGAGGGGTGGACTGACTCAAGGACTTCCCTAAAAGGAAAAATAACTACGAGATTAGAAAAGCTGCTTTTGTCAGTTCACAGAGAGAAAGTGCCATATGTGTTAACTTAGGAGACCCTTAAAATGGTATCCGGTCAGTAAATGCGAAAAAAAATATGGGCAATATTCATGTATTAGGACTGCTCATTTCAAAACTATTGATCTTCCCTCCCAGCCAACAAGTACTTATTTCATATCTTCAAATCAATTCTGTCCTCAGCGAACTGAGGAAATGTCAACTCAACCAAAAAAAGCAGTGGCTCTAGAGGAGCAGATTTATCTTTTTAATTAAATTAACACAAGACAAACGTAAACAGCTAGCACTGATGACCAAAACACTGGAAAGGCCACTGCAGTAGAATCTTTTCAACCACTTCAAAATTATGCCAGTCCAAGAAAATGGAATATAGTTACTGCGTGTTGGTATACAAAAAGTGAGTTTCAAAAGAACATTTTAGTTCAAATCCAATACAGTTTTTGAAAAAATGGGGAAGTTTTTTGTTTTGATTTTAAAGTAGGCTCCACAACCAATGTGGGGCTTGAACTCACAACCCTGAGATCAAGAGTCACATGTTCTACTGATTGAGCCAGCCAGGCGCCCCAAAAAGAAGTTTTTTGATAGGGACTTGGAAAGTGGTCATCTTCAAATAGCAGGAAGGAAACACCCTAACACAGGAGGCTAGAAACATACTGCTGCCGCTGCGGGATTTCTCGATGAAAGGCGCGTGAGCAGGCTCTATATTCTTCCTTTTGTACGTCTTGGTGACCCGGTCCACATCAGGCTGTTTGCGAGTCATTTCCTCCATAAACATCTGTCAGACACAAACAGGGAAAAGAGTTAAAGAGTTTTCTTGGACTGAGACAGAATCAGGCAAGTTCACTCACAAAGCCCAAGCTCATGATGGACAGACCAATTCACAGATGCCTTTGTACACTGTCTCACTCCTTTCAAGAAACAATTGAGCAAGGCACTTACTTCATCAGGTATGGGAAACCTGAAGAGATAAGACATGGCTTCTGACTCCAAGGAGCTCACAGCTGAGTGAGGAAAACCAGGAAGTCAGAGCAATGAATGCCACACAGGATACCAAAGAAGGACCTAGGAGACCCTCTCCTGCTGGTGGCTGTGAAGACATAGGCTGCCATGCTGTGAGCGTGCCAGGTGGCTGAGACCTGAGGGCAGCCTCTGGGAGCTAATGGTGACTCTTGGCTGACAGCCAGCAAGAACATGGAGACCTGGTCCTATAACCACAAGGAATCAGATTCTGCCAACAACTGAATGAGCCTGGGTGAGAACTTGCAGCTGGGGCTGACATCTAGATTTTGGCCTGGTAAGATCCTAAGGAGACCCAGCTAACTCAGGCCCAGACTCCTGCCCCATGGAAACTGCAAGAGAGTAAGTGTGTGTTGTTTTAAGCTGCTAAATCTGTATGAATATGATAAGCAGCCATTTAAAAACAAATACACAGGGCAAAGGAAATGGGCTCCATGAGCAACACAGGAAACACCACGGCCACATGACATGGTGACAATACCTGATGTTCGGCAATGAGGGCTTTAACTCGGTCGATGTTCTGAGGGATAGGCTCCTGGTCCCGCTGAATGAGGGTGGTCTCGGCCCACTGGATCCACGCCAGAAGTTCTTCCAAGAGCTCGGCATTAGCCACCAGTTCTGACAGGGCTGTTTCAAGACGCTGCTGGTGCTGCTTAGCCCACGTCAGGACCTAGGGAGAGAAAGAAAATCCATCGCCTCTCTCAGTCAAGCACATCCTTTGTTTCCAAAGTTTTTTCTTCCATCTGATCCTAACAATGACTTTAAGGGGAAAGAACACTCGAATACTCCAGAGGCCTCACTCTTACTCTAGTGACAGAGCTGGAATGAGCAATCAGCACTCCTGGAAGCAAATCTAGTATGAATATCCTATTAAACACAGGACTTCTCGTGAAGGAAGGAAAAATACCAAACCATGTCCACTGGAATTCATCACTGAAACCATCACTACACCAGCGCGATTCTCTCAGACTGCTGCTCATTACCAAGAAAACAGTCATGACTAAAACGCTAACTTAATTCTTACTGACATATTCACGGTGGGTGAAAAGAGTCCTTATCTGGGGGTGGGCGGGGAAAGCTCAGTAGCATTTTCTCACTAGAAACCCGCTTCACGGGGCACGTGCTGTCCCCTCTGCAACCAGGAACCCACCTCCTCAAAGCGAGCTCGGATGATAGTGATCCAGTGCTTGATGGTAGTGATGCAATCAGGATGGCACACAGCCAGGATGGCTTCTCCCATTGCTACTGCTGCGTTAACATCCACTCGCTTTTCTTCCACTTTCTTCATGAACTCCTTGAACAAAAAAGATTTGAAAACAAAAACTTGAGAAATCTACTCTAGCAGCACTGTTAGTTTACACTATGAGGGGGAAAAGATTTCAATGCATTTTTCCCTCCTCTATGTGTTAACACAGACCTCAAGCCTGCATTTGGGTGTCTCTGGCACTTTGTTCCCAGTTCTGAAAGACGTGAAAAGGTGAAGGGTTTACACAAGAATGACTTTCTCAGGGCTCCTGGGTGACTCAGTCGGTTAAGCATCCGACTCTATTTTGGCTCAGGTCATGATCTCCCAATTTGTGAGATCAAGTCCTGTGTTGGGCTCTGCACTGACAGTGTGGAGCCTGCCTGGGATTCTCTCTCTGCCGCTCTCCCACTCATGCTCGCTAGCATGCTTTCACTCTCTCAAAATAAATAAATAAGCATCAACAAATAAATTAAAACAATGACTTTCTCTGCTACAGATGACAAGGTATAGGGACCCAGAAAGGTACCTCCTATCCCACACCAGGCATGACCCTCTTCCTATTCTTAGTTTTTCTTCAAAAAAAAAAAAAAAAAAAAAAAAAAAAAAAAAAAAAAAATCCTGTTTTTATTCATTTCCATGCATATAAACAATACAGTCTTAGACAAATGACAACTATAAAACACTATGGATATTTAAAAAATACTGAAAAAAAAAATCTGCAACAGAATACCACATATAAAGCCCAGATCAAAATCTCCTGATTAATTTCCCACTTTATTAGGACAGACCGTGGCCCTCAAGACTGCATTATATTCTGGATATATATATTCTATATAGAGCTTGGTAAGAGGTCCAGTGTCTGACACTGGTAATGTGAGTAAAGGCAAATGAAGCTGTGTGCAGGTGAGGATTCTAGGGGGTGGTACAGCCCACATTTTTCTTTATATGATACCACACTGTTTTCACTTGTTTACAACCAATACACATTACTTTTGTAAAAACAAATGAATGATGTTTAAGGTATCAAAAAACCCACTAGTCCTTTCCCTTTCATTCCTGCCAAACCAATAGTCTGGACCCATTCTGGTTCCAGTCCTTTGCACGTGAGGTTGGAAATTCCCAAGCAAAAGCAGGAGGCAGCCCTCACCCTGGTGGGTAGCATGGGTCACTGCACCCTGGGGCTGGATTACCTTATGGGTGTCAATGAGAGACTGCAAGGCCTCCGTGTCATCAGGAAGTGCTCCCCGAAAACGAAGCGTTTGCTCTGCTTCAGAAAGCCACTCCAACAGCATGTGGACTGTGTCCCGAAACTCTTCCGCCTGAAACAACGAAGCACAGCAGATTGAGCCTCTCTGCAGCCAAGGTCCCGGACATTGGGGTAATGTCAGAGAAAGGTTCCGGCCTGAACGCCTTTGTGTGTCACAGGCACTGATGACCCTATCAAGGCCCCACAAAGGTCATCTTTCATTTGTAAATCTTTAAAAACCAAATTAATTTTTTTCTCTAATATGAGTGAACATTAAAATCTTGTAGAACATTCAGAAGATCAATGTTTGGCTTTACATTCGAGACTGGGTGGAACTGATCCTGATAAAGAAATGAGAATGAATCTGCTAGGATCCTCTCCCTTGGGTTGTCGCCAAAAAAGTCTCTAACCTGTTTTAAGGCCTGCTCCAGTCGGCTTTGTTTGGAGACGGAGAGCTTACACACAGTGTCCCAGCGAGTGCTCAATTCCTGGAGCTGCCCTTTCACCCATGTGGTGTCATCACGGCTATTCTCAATCAACTCTCGGCCTGACCGCTTCAGTACCTGAACGGTTCCTGTTCGCTTTCCCAGTTCCTTCTGGAAAACCTAGAAAAGAAAAACAGAAGAATTAGTTTGCTGAGAGATGTTCTGAACCCATGACATCAAACCACAGAGAAAAGTAATCGTTCAGTCCAGTTGTCCTTGGTAGGTGCTAGTCGTGTGTCTTTTATGCAGAGGGAGGCAGGACAATGTGTAAGAAAGAACCATCAGAAGAGGTGGCTCTTAAGATGAGTGGTGTGGCTCTGGGTAAGCTGTTTACCTGGAGTCCCAGTTTCCTAACTTGTAAAACAGTAGTAACGTTACAGCAAGATTTCCAGAATCATGGGAGTTAAGTAAGAACACATTCTGCCATGCACATAATAAGAGTTTGTTGTAAATTCGAGTAAAGCTGAATGCTTTGTGCTAAAACAAGAGGATATAATGGAGGTCAACATGACAGGTGTAGGTTACGCTAAATACCACTGTGCAAGGTGTTGGGCTAGCGAGGGTCAAGGATAGCTCAGAAAAGAACTCATTTTCATTGTAGGAGTCAGTGGAAATGGGTATCTTGAGGGGCTCCTGAATTTAAATTCATTGTGTGACTCAACTGAGAGGTACAAACAAGAAGGGGGGAACCCCAAGACAAATTGTACACATCACCAAATCCAAATCAAAGCAATGTTGGCAAATCCTTTGTGACTGATGCAGAATCCCAGTGATACACACGGAGTGAGGAGTGGTCTCTTTGACAAGCAGAGAAACAAGCTCTTCCAGACTTCCTTTCTCCCCTGGATGGTGAGTCGGAGCAGGAGGCCTGCTTAGGCGGAGGAACCCAGGGCTCTGCCTCCACTCGGCGCAGCTCCCGCCCCTCACCTTATGGGCGTCCATGAGGTTCATGACCAGGTCGAGGTCCCCGTGCACGGGCTGGTCCTCGGCCAGCTGCGGCTCCACCTTGTACAGCCAGTCGACCAAGGCCTGCAGAGCATCCATGAACTGACCCGAAAACAGCAGGGCCTCCTCCAACTTGTGCTGCCTGAGAGAAGCACACAAACCTCACTGTTTTGGGGGATCCTTTTTCTTTGACTGGCTCACAGTTCTGACTGCTGAAGGGAATACTGCTTGCACTCTACAGAGACAGGGCCCTCCATGCTGGGCTGGTTCGAAACAGATAAACAGTGACAAAGAGCTATGCCTAGACATTTTGAACCAAACTGCTCTCTAGAATGGATTTAGTACAGGAAACAAGTGCAGATACCCTTCTGGCATCTTAGGAGTCCAATGGTTATATATATGGATACACCCTAATGCCCCAAGTTCTGTGCTAATCACCTTACACCACTCAGGTGGAGGAGGACAGTTTCAGCCACGGTCTGAGTCAGGAGTTGTGTGACCCTGGGCTTTCTCTTCACCTCTGTGAACCTCAGTCACCTCATCCAAAAAATTGTGGAGCACAATATAAAGATATCCTAATACTTAGCATAGCATAGTGGGCACCCAGGGACAGGAGTACAACTTATGGAACCAAACTCAAAAGCTTCAAATCCCAGCTCTGCTGCTTAGTAGCTGAGTGACCTTGGGGGAGTTAAAAACCCTCTTTATGATAGTTTCCTCATGTGTAAAATGGGAATAACAGAGCCCGCCTCAGTGGTTGTCAGGTGGATTAAGTGATTAGTAGCCCCTTTTTGGCACATGCTCATTAGTGATTGCCCTGTCAAGGGCAGGTATTACAATGGTTACACGAGGTGCTATGTGCAGAGGCTTTGCTCAGTGCCTGACAGTGAGAGAACTCACTGACACAGCCATCAGTGTCACAACTTAGTCACTGACAGAGAAGTGTAGTTACTAATCTTCTGTTGCTATTGGCTTGAGTTTATGGCCTTCTTGCTAATACGGTAAGGTTCAAGTTTAAAATGAGAATTTTAATACATTTTATTCAACTTCACAACTTGCAATGAATGAACTAGAGATATTGAGATGCTACAAAACCTGTTACTGATGCATTAGCTTTATTGCCATTTTGTGGAATCCAATTAACAGTCTTTGTTAGTTTCAGGATGACATACAGACCCACAAAGCAAATATTTGTACTCACCTCTCCACAGACTTGCCACAAACAGTATCCCATTTGTCTCTGACTTCTCCCAGTAAATTGTCAAGTTTCTGAGTGTCATCAGGAAGCAAAGTCTTTTCTTTCAGGGCTCTGCCAGTTCGAATTGTGGTATCATACACAGGCTGTTTGCCACCAAGGGTTTTCTGAAATTCCTGTTTCCAAAGAGAACAGAAAGAATCCACGCTAAAAAGATGATGTCTTGATTTGGAACAAAGAAAATTTTTCAGTGTTCAGGTTGGTAATGGATGTTACTACTTCTTGAGTTAACAACAGCTTATCCTCGAGAAATTTAAAAATTTTGGGTGCGCCTGGGTGGCCTACTCGGTTAAGCATCTGATTCTTGATTTCGGTTCAGGTCATGATTGCACGATTAATGAGATTGAGACCTACATTGGGCTCTGTGCTGACACCATGGAGCCTGCTTGGGATTCTGTCTCCCTCTCTCTCTCTGCCTGTACCCCGGTCTCTATCTCTCTCTCAGAATAAATAAACTTTAAAAAAAAAAAAAAAAGAAAGAAAAAGAAATTTATAAATTTTTGTTTATACTACATGTAGCAGTGCACAAAAATTTCTAAAAGCTTGTTGTTTTAACTGGTTACTCCCACAATCACTTTGTTCGAACAGTTATTTAAATGACTGATTTTTATGGTTAGACCCTATGTAGATACAAGACAGCTAGCTTCATCATCTTGATTTTTCAACATTAACCAATTTTTTTTTTTTTTTTTTAACTAGCTCTGATTTCCATTTTTTGCAACTTCAGTGAATACCAAGGTCAGGACCTAAGAGCCATGAACCGCTTTACCTTATGCTTAGAAAGCTGGAGTTTAATTTTGTCTGGGTCATTGGATATCTCCAGCTCTGAGTCCAGGTGACTTTCTGCATCTTCTAGCCAATCAATCAGTTTTTTCCAAGCTTCGTGGAACTGCAATTATATAAAAAGTAAGAATGAATATGTAAGCTACACTTTCATGTAAATCATACCAGAGGCTCTACACATGCAGCCCAAGATTGTTCAAGAAATTGGTAGCTTTCTTTCCTAACTTACTTGTTTTGCCCTCTTCCTGGCATCATCCAGTGATCGCCCTCTTTCAATAGACCGCTGGACAACCTTCTCCCATCGAGACTGGACGCTGACCAGCAAATTCTTGATCAGAACAACATCCTGTTTTTGGCTAAGGAACTTTAACTGATTCCCGGTTTGATCCAGTTCAATTATCTGGTCTCGATGAGCATTGACCTCATTAGCAAACACCTGAGGGGAAAATATAGCTCTTTTTAAACTGAAGATAAGATAGAGGAGCTTCTTTCTCAGCTAGTCCCCTCAAAAGGCAGGCGACATTGTAATGTCACAGTTACCTTGTGCTCCTCTATCTGGGAGAGGACAGTGTTTAGAATCAGGCTGGGAGGAGAGGCGATGTTGAGATTTTGCTCTGCTAGAGTGAGCCAATTGATGAACTCTTGCAGGGAATTCTGGAATTCTGTTGCCAGGTTGAGGGCCTCTTCCAGCTTTGACTGAATTTTAATTAAAACACAAAAAGAGAAAGTGCCAAATTCAGGAATTGTAGTTTCCAGGACAAAGGCGTGAATTGTACACTAAAAAAAATGATCTCTAAAGAGGAAGCCTCACTTAACCTCCAAACATGCCCTGTTTACAAACAAGGGGGCAATTTAACGTTAGTGTCTGAAACCAAAACAAGTATGTATAAAAAGGAAAGAGCACAATTTGCAGCAAAGTTGCTTTCTCTGCCATTCCCCACTTCCTGGGACATTAAAGAACAGGGATAGAGCTATTCAGTAAGTGTAAGGGAACAGATCCTTCAGCGGTGACAGCTGCAGGGTCTGCAACTTGTTCTGGGCAAAGCCTCACTTCCCTTTGATGTACTTTTTCCAGTATAAAAACAACTGAATGAAAAGCACTTTACTGTAAAGATGATGGTCACTGCATTGCTCTATTTAAATGTTTTCAGAAAATATGGCATCTGAAAATGTGAGGCTGAAGCTCATTCTTTTTTTATTTTTATTTTTTTAAGGAAGCTCTAGGCCCAACTTATGACCCTGAGATCAAGAGTCGTGTTCTACCAATTGAGCCAGCCAGGTGTCCCTGAAGCTCATTTTTAAGCTACAAGCAGAAAAGGTGAGGGGGGAAAAAAAAGCCGTAATATTCTAAGCAAAAATGTGACACTAGATACAAATTTTTAGACACTGCTCTAAATCAGAGTGGCAAAAACAATGGCTCATTCAGGGCATGTCCACTGCCCAAAAATGCACCCCAATTCCAGAGTCTACGAGCTCCAGAGAAGCTCTACCCACAACACGTAGGTGATGGCCTCTGTCCCTGGTCCATTTAGCAGGCAGGCATGTAATAATGACAGGTTGCTAAAAATGAATATATCTAAGATATTCATAGAAACCCCAGATGTACACTACAAATGTTATTGTTAACTGAGTTATATATACTGTATAGGTTTTTATTTTTCTTTGTATTTTCAAGTCACTCTTGTAACACAGAAAAACACTATTATCAATGTTACAAAAACGTACAGACCTAATGTAAATAAACCAAGAGAAAAATAAAATCTACCTCAAATTTATTACAGAAATGCTTAGAAATTAATAATATTGCAAGTTCCTAGATAACAGGAAATCTTTCCACATCATTTTATCTATTTATTCCTTAATATAGCACCATACACACTTACTACAGAATATTAGTGATACTAAAATGTAAAGTTCTTGCAAAATCAGAAATAACTATCCCTGACACCAAGCCCTTGTTTGACCAGTTTCACCAATGATGGGGAAGTATATCTTGAGGCAACTTGCTCCATTGATGGGAAAACATAGAAATTTCTTGATTAGGAGCCAGAATCTGCCTCAGTTTCTTTAATTAGTCTTAGTTCTGCATTCTGCAGAAATTAGATGATAGTCTGTCAAAGAATTAGAACACAGCCCCACACTCAGTGTCTCTGGTCATTCTTCATACAACAGAATTACCAGATCTCACACTAAAAAAATTCTAGGAAATTAATGGTACTCTCAAAGTATCCATTTATATGTGTGAATACTTCTGTCCATTAAATTTCACAATGATAGGGTTCATGCCTTTGCTTCCACTATATAGCTAGCACAGTGCCTGGCACATACATGCTTAATAACTGTTGAATGGATATGGCCAACAGATTTGAACACATATTTTACATTAGATCTGCCCAGTACAGAAACTCTGTGCTGAGTAATACTCCGAAATTTGGTACTCATAAAAAACAATGTTGTGAGGCCTTGATCCCTGATCACTTTTCTTTTGAAGAGAATTTGATTTCTGAAGAAGAGTGGGAAAAGGTCACAAAATTTACTCCTCTTCTGATTTTTTTAGTAATATTATTTGCACACTGCCAAATTCCTGTGGAGAATATTAGCCCAACTCCCTGAATGTTCTGTTCCCACCCTCCCAATCCCAAGCCAGTGACTCCAACATGACCTTGTTTTTCAGTAGGAACACAGATCAGTGATTACTATAAGTTATAAGTCCATCACTCAGCAGTTAACAGCCTCATATGTCTCAACTGGTAAAGGCAAAAAAAGGAATGAACGACAAAAGCAAATATTGGCAGAAACCAGTACCATCAATGCAACTTGATATGGATGCAAAATAGAAATTTAACATCAGGAAAGATAGCTTGATTAGTACAAAAACGATTAAATCAAAAACGATAACCAGTTCTGCAACTTCTGGTACTATATAATGGTCTCCGAAAAATCTTCACAGAAACTAGATGGTAATTACATGCGATGGTCAAGCAAACTACTCAAGCCCAATAATCACACACTGTATTTTGTGGTGATACCTTTCTTTCTTCCATCTTACTGCTGACCACATGCCACTTCTGTTCCAAGAGAGCTACACTCTGTTCTGTCTTTGAGCCAGACCCAGAATCATCGCGGCTTAGAAGCATGAGCCTGCCCTTGTCAAGCAGTTGATTATAAGTCTCTTCCTTGGCTTTGAGCTGGGAATAGAGTTCCTACCAAAAAAAGAAAAAAAAGTCAAGAAAGGGATTGGTAATGCCAATTCTCTGAAAGCCACCCACACACAGATTTATAAGCACAGTTGGAAAAGTCCAGGAAGGTCTCATCTTGATCAAAACCCTTTCTTTTGGATTCAGTTCAATTCCTGAGCAATGACTCCTACCATTCTTCGCTAAAATTGAAGTAATTTTGTTATCAAGAAGATTTCCTTAAGGATCAGAGATCACAAAAGTAGACCCCAATAATTTATTTCTCCTTTACTTGAAACATTTGTCTAGAAATTATGTTGCCTTTTTTTCTCAGCCCCTTTCTTAAAATATTGTCACAGTATCTATCGATTTCTATAAGTCCCTTCAGCACTCTTTTCTTAGACACATCCATGTTAACATATTTGTCTTAATGCTCTCACCTTCAAGTCAATATTCTTATGCCAACTGACTGACCAACTCAAAATTTAACAGCTCACCAATGTATTTCCAGTCAAGCTTCCCTGTCACCACTGCTGCCTGTGGTAGGGGCTCTTAAAAGCCCGTGTAAAAAGCAGTAATCCTTAAGGTCATACTATATTGTCAGTAAAAATGTGCTGCTTTGTAGACTCCTAGATACATACAGGTCTGTGAATTCAGAAAGTTCTGAGTAGGGGATTATGTTCAACTTCAAGAAGCTTCCATTACCATATGTGTATCAAGCTGTTCCCTTGCAGTTTCAGGAAGTCCTCCTGTGGGCTTAGATGCAGAGAGTTGGGTCTCCATTCTAGTCAGTTCCAAGAGAAAATCTTCAATTTCACTGTGGAAACCCTGGGCCTTTGAGAAAAGACACATCAGTAAGGTCAGCAGTCAATTCTCAGCTTCAAAAGTAGACTTCCTAAATGACCACATGAAGAACCTATCCTGAGGGAGGAATTCTGGGTTGCTCACAGGGTTGTTCTGTTGCTGGATTAGCACGGGGCCAATATACTTATTTATTTTTGGAATCTAGCAGAATCCTTTGGACTTCACTGTAATATATGATAGATGTCTGATATAACCTGATGAATCAATCAACAGACTGAAGTACTATTGAACATGGACATGGGGGGATCCTCACTTGATTTAAGAAATAACTAAATCTGTGAGCAAGGTTTGTTATGGCAAAGATTTACTAACTAACTTTGAATAGTAAATAAAGAGACAAGGCTACAAACAAATCTGAAAAGAATCACTCAATCAAAAGCTATTCTTTCCAGACAAGTTCCAGCACAGAATTAACCATCTTCTTAAGACATGGAGCAGGGGCTGGGGTGGGGAAAGGAAGGTTGGTGAGACATTCTCCAAATTGTTTTCCTTTCACTGACTCAGACAGGCTTTCTTCCGATGTTATGTGCACAGCTCCACCTCCCTAACTTGGACAATACACGCACCTGCTGCAATGTCAACTGAAGCTGCTGTTCTCTCTCCTCTGTTTTTTGTAACACTGACTCCCAGCACTGGTTCATAGTTTCCAAACGGCTCCTTAGGCTGCTGGCGTCATCTCCAGCACTAGATTCAAGAAGCTCATTGCCAGCTTTGTTGACTGTTTCTACTGTGGCTTGATGGGCCAGAACATCATTTTTTAGAACCTAAAAGACGTTGAACAATGTAACTTAGCTCCACAGATATCATCAAGCCTGGTTCCCAACGGTACACACAATATCCAGAGGCTTCTGGTGACAATATTGGGTCTCAAGGCAACAGGCTTAGAGATGAAAACTGAGGGCACTTACATGGTGCTTTGCGAGCTCAACTTCAATGACTTTTGGGTCTCCGCTTACTGGTCTCTGAGCATCCAACAACTCCTCAGTGTGAGTCAGCCAACTCATCAGTTCCTCTAAGGCATGCTGGAACTGGCCAAGGGCCAGGAGAGCACCTTCTAGTTTGTGCTATTCAGAAAAAGACATAAAGGGAATGTTGGTCAGGAAATTAGAAAAAAGGAACTAGTTGTCCACTGATGCACTCTACCATCTGCCTCACCTGTCTGTGGGCAATTTTTTCACCCAGGTTCTCCCAGAGGTGTTTGAGTTCTGTCAGTGGTTCTCGGATAATGTCTCTATCCGTCTCATCAGTAGCTTTCTTTAACATCAGCTCACCCTGGTGATTGAGCTTCTCCATCTCAATTTGCTGCTGGTAAACTTCCACTTTGAACTCCTATCAAAGACATACTAATGTTAACATCAAACCAAATCTTTAGAAACAAAAAATAAGCAACTCTTCTTCAAAAGCCATTCCTATTTACAAACCTTCATTTCATTTAACTGATCCTTAACAGTGTTGAGGTCCGTGCCAACAGGGGGCATGGTGCAGAGCTTAATCACAGTGTTATCTAGCCAGTCAAACATAGCCTAAGACAGAAATACAAACAGTCAAAAACCAAAAGAACACAAGGAGTTGGGAGAGAATTAGCATTACCTCTGCTGACGTAAGTGGACAAAAATTAAAGTACCTTGTGATGTCTGTGTTTTCAGGTGGGGGTCAGAGGTAAGGGATAATGATCTTTATTCCAGTGATATGGGGATTTAAGAACAGAACCAGTGTTATCAGGATAATGGCCAAAATAAATTAAACTCTGGAAAAACTAAATGTGAATAGCAGTTGAGTATTTGTCATGGCCACCTAGCAAGCTCAGGATGTGGTGAAACTACTGTGCCAAGCTGTGCTTCAAGATAACTTGGTTTTGGAACCTTTTGGCAAGCAATGACTTGCACAATAAGGCCTGCTTCACTGTACAGCCACCCTGAGGATAAATATGATGATGAAGAGCATGGCAAGAATCGTAGAAATTTGGAGGTATTTTTCTCACTAGGAGTGGAAAGCTTCAGCTGGAAATATCAAAACAGCACTGTCTTAGTTTGGAAAATGCTCCAGTCCTGTAAAGGTGATCCACTCAGATGCTGGATCCAAAATATGACAAAGAACATGGAACTTATTTCTATGGTGGTCACTGTGTGGCCTCTCACCTGAAGAGTGTCCTGATACTGCACAGCAGCTTGCATGGCATCCTCAAGCTTTTCTAGCCTCTCCTTCCAGGTTTTGTTTAAGTTCTCCCATGCATTATTCAGCTGGGGGGAAAACAGATTCTTTCATTAATAACCCTCTTTTGTGTGAGTCCACTAATGTTTCATCTGAATTCCTTATCCAGTTTTCCATATACCTCATCAATGCTCTTCTTTACTTCGGGCTTCTCAGTTTCTCCACAGGCAAAAATCAAATCTGCTCCAAGGATTCGAATAAATTCCAACTCCTCATGCAGACCATCTGTCTCTTCCTTAATAGTCTACATGTAAATGAACAGATCATAAGCCAAAACAGAAAGCAGAACAGAACTTCCCAAACTTTGCAAATGTAATTTATACCCCCATCAACAGCAGATGTTGAACAGAACTGTCAATTTCACAGAAGCCTTTCAATGTCCTTAATATTTCACTTATATAAACAGTGAAATTTCAGACTCAATTTATTTCTCTTTCTCTCTCACACACAATATGTATATATGGAATATATTTATATATATATATATATATGTATATATATATATATATAAAACAATACATAAAAAATTGTCTGGGAAAGGTCTAATGAGCTTTAATAATTTATGGAACGTTTATCCTTCCAGCTGCCAGAGATTTTCTTTTTTTTTGAGAGAGAGAGAACATGCTTGAGTGGAGGGAGGAGAGAGAGAGAATGCCACAAAGTGCAGAAAGAGGGAGAGAGAGTGCAGAGCCCAGAGAGGGGCTTGAGCTCACCCGACATGGTGCCTGAACTCAAAAACCTTGAGATCATGACCTGAGCTGAAGTCGGATGCTCAACCGACTGACGCAGCCAGGCGCCCCCACCAAGGAGATTATGATCTACAGCCAGAAGTCTATCATGGGGAAGTATATCAACAAGGCTAAAATAATATAGTACAAGTCACCAACTTCAGAGCTGAGAGACTAACATAATAGAAATGCTAGGCTGTATAATTGTGGAGAAAGTCCGTTCTGTGCCAGATCCTAAAAACTCGTTCATGCACTGGCAATGACAGGGGCAAGGAGGGGGGAGAATGGCGGAAATAAAAGACAAAATATCAAGATAGGCAGGACTTTACTTAAAGAGACAAAATGAGATGAAAAATGCATTTCATAAAAACTAGGCTCTCCAAAAAGACTAGAAAAGGGTAGGTCAAAGTAATAATTGTTATCTCTGGATGATGAATCCAGAATTTATTTTCTTTTCTATCTGGTATTTTTCTACATTAAAGAAATTTACTTGAAAAAAGAAATTTACCTGAGAAATAACGTACACTATGGAAAGAACTAAAATCAGAAAGCACATTCTACTAATTTGAATTAAGTTTAAAATTGATAAAAGGATTACTTTTGAGTGATGGAACTACCCTATATCAAAATTACAGAGGTTGTAGGAGTGTATCCAGGCGGTGAAACTTGTATGTATAAAGAAGAGAGAAATCTTTATTATAACGAGCACATATTTTTTTCAAGTGGAAAAAAGTCCTATTAAACAAACAACAACAATAACAACAACCTCTTAAGGAGTAGGCCTGGGTAAGCAGTTAACACAATATACTTGGATAAAGTGATTTTCTAGAGGACAAACACATAAAAGACAAGGTTTTGTTTCTGTCTTACCTCAGCAGCTTCAACCTGTTGTTTGATTATAGATGGGTCAATGCCTGGGCTTTCCAAGTCATGGACAATGTCCTGGGTGTCTCTGATAGTGGTCAAGAGAGCCGCCATGTCATACCAGAACTTCTCTGCTAGTTCAAGGACATCAAGGAACTTAATTTCTCGTTCTTCAGCTCGAGCTTTGATGTCCTCCCAGAAGAATACCATCTGATCCAATTTGTCCTGGATTTCTGAGGGAATAAACAACAGATATGAATGGGACTTCTCTGAGTACTTGAATCCACTTCATCAGAAATTTCACCCAGTTCTCACATTTTCCCCTGAAATTATCCTTTAAAAAGCTCTACAAATTTATAACCTGAAGGATAGTTTTTTACCTTTGTTTTATTATTATTTCAACATTTGTATTTTCTACTTATGGTGGTCTCCCACATAAGAGATCACAGAGATGGCATGGAAATGTGTTATCATCTAATACAAAGGTACTGCTCAAGTGCAAAAGACCTAACTTCTAAAGGGGCTGAGATGAGAACTCTATTTCCAGTGTTCTGTGTCAAACTCACTGTTTCCTATGGAAAGTGTTCTATAAGATAGTTATGCTCCGCCTACATTGGACACTGCAATTCATATTAGGGGTTAAAAGAGCATCTGTTTCCTGGCCTAGGAATCCAGCTACCAATTGTAATCTTGTTTCAATGGGGAGATGTGTTCTGAATTCTAAATGGCTTTCCAATTACTTGGGGACTGCCTTTACATTCAGTGAAGTATATCTGGTGGGATGCTGGAGTAAGCACAGCCTAGAATTTACTTTACTGATTTTCTTTAACAATAATTAGATTCATGAAGCACCTTTTGCAGCCAAGTCCTTGTCGGCTCCCTGAGATCGTGCAATGAGCTCTTCTCCACGGCGCTTCAGGGCCTCAAAGGAAGGCTGAAGCTTTTCCAGCTCCACGGTGGCGCTCTTGTTGTCACTGACACACTCTCTGATCTTGTCCACTTCGGCAGGGATCAGCGGTGGCATACGCAGGCGAGAGGAGAGATTCTCCAGAGTCTCCAACATAGGCTCGATTTTATCATGGAACTAAACAGATGTTGGAACGTTAGCCATCACAGCAATACTACTTCATCACACTTCTGCGGGAAATGTTAGGGAATAACAGGTTATGAATCTACTACTCTTTCTGGTAACTTGCATTCGGCTTAGCCCGATGGCTGTCAAGTGTTAGGTCTGCCTAAGAGACTGCTTTGGGCATAGCACACCAGTGCTGGCCCATCAAAAAAAGAAAGTAAACGTTTATTTTCAAAACAAAAAAAGATATCAAGTAATATGCCAGAAATCGACTCAAGTCATTAGTGCTGTCACAGTACTTCCCTGATCCCAACTAGTGTGACAAGGAAGGGACAAGACCATGAAACTGGTGAGAGTCAGTGTGTCAACATTTCAGATGACAGCTGCATGCAACAGATTAGACCAACAAGTTAGAGGCCCTCTACCAACTGTGTAAATGGATGGGGAACTCAATATGCCACATGACTTAGAGATTAGAAGTATCCTGGCATGCAATTTAATAACCCACTATATGTAATAGTGAGAAAGGAAAAGGTCGGCATGATGAAAGGTAATTAAAGAAGGCCAAATCTATCCTTATTCTAAAAGAACAATTTACCTTCCCGCTTTTCAGGTACTGTGAATAACATGATTGTAATTATAAAATTTTCATTTATAATCTGAAGCAGAGAAGGGGGAAAAGGGTGCAATGCAGATATTCTTGCCCCCTTAAGAAGTTCTCTAAAACCAACTCTGGATTCAATGCAATGAAGCTTAACTCTAGTGTCTTACATGGGAGACACAGTGGGATTTCCTTGACAAAATCACTCCCCGCTGCTCCCTCACTTTTAGGTTTTGCCCCAAGTGAGACTGGCATAATAAACCAGACTAATAAAACTTCTTCCACGACAGTAAAGGGCAATTTCCTTAAAGGTAAATCTTCTCAATTCTCAGCTTCATAAGAACCCCCTAATCCCAGTAGGGGTGGGTACCTTACCTCTGCAATCTGTAATGGTGGGCGCGGTCAACACAACAATGAAATGTGACGATGTGGGGAGGACAGGAGCAGGCAGCAACAACACAAAGTAACACATTCCACAATGTGAGTGAGAGATGGGACGGAAGGTGGGGGGAAAAACTTGAGTAAGTACAAATATTAACCAAGAATATTGACACTAAACATAGGAATAAAATACCCAGACATGACAAAAATACCACTAACACCAATATATTAGTTGAAAAGTATGTAGTTACATGCTTTAAACTCCACTGCTGGTGGTTTATGTTTCTCTTTGGCTCTTACTTCTCCCTACTCAAGCATCTTTCTCTGCACCAGGAGCTAGCTGGTGGCCTCTTGAGTAAGAAAACTAATGTGCTGTCTTCCAAATCTCGAAAGTAAGAGGCTGATAGGGATCTCACTTTTCTTGACACATTTGTTGCTTCAAGGTGAATTTATCCAAAATCATCCCTGCTAAAGACTCATCACAATAGAAAAGTTTTCAAGAAAACTGTCAACAGACAGTATATACCAGCCAAGATGAGACACCCCCCTCCCCCCTGCAACCAGCCATAGTGTTGGTATACCAATGTTCCTTGGAATGAAAATGTAATAGGCACAGGTTCCTGATCTACTGATGACATATCATCTGCACGTTGGTCTAGACATTCCAGACCACAGAGGCACACCTGATACAGAGATCTCGTGCTTAGACTAAAGGGTAGTTGAAGGGAACAGGACTTAAAGACACACACATACCTGAGCCGACTGGGAAACAGCCTCGTCCAGAGCCAGTGCCCGCTGGCGCACCTCCTCTTTTATTTGGGCATATAGGTTTTCTGCTTTCTGGTATTTTTCCTCCACCATTTCCCCCTCTTCAGGGTTTAACTCCTTTAGTTGTGGGCCTATCTTTAGCAGCTTATCAATATGGGGTTTGTGTTCAGCAATGGATTCCCTGAGTTGCTATGTAAGAAAATAAAATGATTATTTTTGTACCAAGCTCGTATCAACTTTTAGAGGAAAAAATGGAATTGCTAAAAACCAGCAAGTCCCAGCATTGCACCATTTATGGAAAAGAAAAAAAAAAAATGATCTAAGTCTTAGGTTCTAACACTACCTAATTCTCTTAATTTTCAAAAGCCAGTTCAGACGGCCCAACACCAGGAAGCCTTCCCAGACACATCATCTCTCACTCCTCCTCCCCCTCCCTGTTGATACAAGCTTAATCCCCCTCTTCTGTACATATAAATACTTCCATGCACTATAATTTGCATGGTTATATAAGTATCTGTCCCCCTCCTCAAACTGAGAGACATTAAGCAGGACAAGGCACAAATGGCAACTTTTCTAGTAATCCAACCACTCCTTGACTCTACTGCTGGCTCCTTCCAGTTTATATCCATCCATGTACAGGAATACAGAGAAAAGAATAAGCGCAAGCCATTAGCCACAAATAAGAGAGACATTAAAAACTATCTTTAATGGTAAAAGCATTAGTTGAAGTGTCTACAAATTTCCTTTTTCCCTAAAGTCCATGCAGCCAATGCTTTCTGACATTGTTTCACTCCAGCTAGGGCTTACCCAAATGGAAAAAGCCACCCAACCATATCCCAAGTCTCATGACGCCCCACCATATCTGGAAAGATTTAAAAATACCCTTGATTGGGGCGCCTGGGTGGCGCAGTCGGTTAAGCGTCCGACTTCAGCCAGGTCACGATCTCGCGGTCCGTGAGTTCGAGCCCCGCGTCGGGCTCTGGGCTGATGGCTCAGAGCCTGGAGCCTGTTTCTGATTCTGTGTCTCCCTCTCTCTCTGCCCCTCCCCCGTTCATGCTCTGTCTCTCTCTGTCCCAAAAAAATAAATAAACGTTAAAAAAAAATTTAAAAAAAAAAAAAATACCCTTGATGTTTACTTAGTTCTTTATTTCTGCAGTACCCAGGTTTCTGACATCTCCATGCTCTTTTTCTTTAATGGATTCATATTAAGGACAAAGGAAGTAATTCAGGTATGTATTGTGTGTGTGTGTGCGCGCGCGCGCAAAAATTCTAACCAATTAAGACTTAACTTCATAACACAGAACTTCCACTTGGTAGGCACTAAAAAACATGTTGTTTTAAAATAAAGCGTAGAGCCAGTTTTGAGTTCTGCCATTGCATAAAACCTGGATTGCTCCTTACCCTCATTTCCTCTTGCTGCTGCCTGAGCTGCTCATGATCAATGGCTGGAGGAGGTAACTGTGCTATCAGTGCCCGGGTCTCCTCAATCCAGGGGCTGAGCTCCTCGTAAGTTTCCCAAAACTGGTTCACCAAGACCTGTGCCCGTTCTAGGCGGGTGTAACGCTCTGAATTGAGCAGACTAATGGCTTCATATTGCTGTATTAGAGACTCTGTCTTTTCCTATGAACAACAAAATATAAAACTTATTACTATCATGAACCCTTCTTTTAAGGAAAAAATGTAGGTATATATCCATAAAAAATTAAAGAGTTTCTTCAGTTTTTTATGTCCAGAAATGGATTAATTGAGCAAAATTACAACTGATTTTATTTTCTTTATACTTAACTGAATTTTCTATTTTTTCTTATCATATATATGTATTGTTTCTAGACTTTTTAACACATGAAAGTAGTTTCAAAGACAAACAGAGCAAGCACGACACAGCATAACCTCTTAGAGATGACATACAACCTCAGACATAGCATTATTACGGCAGGTCAGTTCCAGACAGAACATCTCAGGGGCTGAAATGGACCCTCTGCCCACTAACTTTGACTTGTCTTTTCTCCTCTGATAAAAATGTCTTCACAAACCAGACACTTAGGCTTCATATGTTTAAAATGAATAGTTCAATTTATGAACATTTCGGAGGAAACAGTAGTTAACCATAACTTTTACAAGAACAAGTAAAACTGATCTACAAGTCTCTTGGCCAATCCTTTTAGAAATGGGTATGATCATTTACAAGGGCCTGAAGAAAGAATATCTGCATATGGGTCTGAAAAATCTATCATAGATACTTAGAGAGGTAACTCAAAGACCCTTATGGACTGAAGATACATAGCAATTCCTCTGTTATAAAGAAAACAAACCTGCAATGTATTTCACATCTTCTGGTAGGACTGTTTGGACATTTGTGCACATAGGGTTAGGGACATGGCTCCCCCCAGAACATCAAATTGCACTTTAATACCATTACCAGTGACAGAGGGGGAAAAACGTCATTTCACAATTGTACTGATTCACCACCATCAAGACAAGATAAACATGGTAAATAAATAAATGCAATTCACCTGTAATATAGCTTTTTGTTCCTCCCCACATGTGCCAAAGATTTCACCACGATGACTGAAGAGTTCATCCATTGAATCTTTGTGTCGAATGATGTCAATAGAGAAAGCCTTTGAAAGTGAACTACAGTTAGGTCACGAAGTAAGAGAACCCCAAGCCTGTGTTACTGAAATGTTATTAGACACAATTTATGAAAAACTCCTCACTCTGATGAAGCCACATCAAAACTATTCTATAAAGTTTGACACTTTGCCTATCCATACATCTTCCATGCTTATCTTTTAGTAGCTTACAAAAGTATCATCTATCCTAAAAATCATCCAGAAAACTGTGAAGATTTCCTAAACCAGTGAAGATTCTTCTAGCTCAGGGCACAGCAGATATGTCAGTGTTACACTTACCTTCTGTACCTGCAGCTGAGCTGTGGTCTGGTCCTGTTCTAGGCGAATTGGACCCAGGGCCATCAGTTTTCGTTTTGTTTCAGCAACCCAAGCTAGTTCTGCATCAGCAGCTTGCTCATACTAATAGGCATATTAAAGAAAAATGAACAAATTATGTTCCTTAGAATTACCATTTCCTCGGGGCGCCTGGGTGGCGCAGTCGGTTGAGCGTCCGACTTCAGCCAGGTCACGATCTCACGGTTCGGGAGTTCGAGCCCCGCGTCGGGCTCTGGGCTGATGCCTCAGAGCCTGGAGCCTGTTTCCGATTCTGTGTCTCCCTCCCTCTCTGCCCCTCCCCCATTCATGCTCTGTCTCTCTCTGTCCCAAAAATAAATAAACGTTGAAAAAAAAAATTTTACAAGAATTACCATTTCCTCAACACAGAAAGGCCTGGACTTTTACTAATATGGTTTATTTCTACAAAGGAAAGCCAAAACTGGGGAAAATTGCATAAAATCATAAATCAAGATGCAGATAATTTGTAACTGATTATACTTCAACAAATAGGAGTTGATCCTATTTCAACTTCTTTATAAAGAAGTCATAGAATTCAATTAGTGATCCTACAGCTAGAAACAACAATGGAAATTGACACTCCTAAGACTATACTTCTAATCACAATGCTTTTATGAGGCTGTGCTCTCTCCCATCTGCCAATCCTGTTTCCTACCCATACACTGAACAGTAGTTTTAGCTGTATGTTTAAACGCATGGTTAAACATGGCAACAGACAGCTGAGTCAAGCTAACTTGTAAGTACTCTCATAGTTGAAGAAGCATAAGAACACCAAACCTTTAAAGGGTTCTGTGGAAACAAAGAAAACTAAGAACTTGTTCTATGTGACTGTTTAATGAGGTCCCCCAATTATTTCTCTTCAACTGTGCCAACAAACACCAATATTTAAAGAGGAAAGTAGGCTTTTCCCAAGCATGATAAATCTCATACCCAAGTATCTGGTCAAGGGTAGGGATACCAATAGACATGTTGGGGATGCACTTGAGAGTCACAGCAAACTTCTGTGTGGTTCACAAAGTATTTGCTTATTACTATGAACCCAAGAAGTCATGTTATATTTACTCAGCACCATGACACATTAATAGGTACGTATACAGCTACAAAGGAAAGCAAATAACTTTTTCCAGAAAGCAGGAAGGAAAAAAGATAGAGGGAAATAGGACACCTGTGTTTATTGAGAAGGTTCTATTTTGGATACCTCTATTTTGGTTAGCATATTTGATAGTAATTATAGTTCTTGGTTCCTTCCCCTCTTCCAGCTAATACTAAAACAGTTGATTATGTCAAACTAAGATGGGATGCATTTGGACCTTCTGGTCCTAGATATTATCTACTATCAGAATCTGCATCTTAACCGGTCAGTAGCTAAGAAGAGGGCTCAAACAGACTCTATCACAAATTCCCGTCTGCTCAAAAAGGGTCAAATATTATGGGTCGGGGCGCCTGGGTGGCTCAGTCAAGTAAGTGTCCCAACTCAATTTCGGCCAGGTCATGATTTCAGAGTTCAAGCAGGTTCAAGTGGGTTCAAGCTTCATGTTGGGCTCTGCACGAACAGCATGGAGCCTGCTTGGGATTCTCTCTTTCTCTCTCTCCGCCCCTCCCCCACCCTCAAAAATAAATAATAAATACAAAAATATTTTGGGTCCAACTGGGACCCATCTTCACATATCTTTATCCAATCACTTCCAATCACTGAAATAACTTGTTGGATCAGATTTAGCTTACTCTTATTACCCTTATTTCTGACGCTGTATTTATGTGGGTCATAATTTTGTGCTTCACACATACATCCCTGCTGCCTAAAACATTACTGTAGAGGTGTTAATAAACATTACCTGCTGTGATCTCTGAATAGCAGCATCAATTTCATCCACCCTTTGTCCCACAGTGTCACTGACCAGCTTGTACTGTTCGTTGGCATCAGACACAAGTTTATCCAGCCCTTCTCTGGCTCTCCAGGGCACCAGCTCTAAGAGAGCACGGCTCACTTCATTCACTGTGTCCAACACCAGCCTGTGCTCCATGACCTCCTTCTTTAATTCCTAAGGAGGGAAAAAAAGTTTTCAGGCCATTCCTTGCTAAATTAAGCACATTAGCAGCTGTGCTGGGTAGAAAGTGCTATCTCTACCACACATCCCAGCAGGGCTCTGACCTCCTTCCTCCACTTATTTTTTTTCTTGTCTTAGATTTTTCAACCATTCCACAGCCTGACTTCAGGCTTAGCTGCTGCTTAGAACTGTCTGCAACACTTCTTGGGCCACACTATCTCTGGATAGAACAAATACTGCCTCTTTCTTTCTTCTCCTTACTTCAATAGAAATGATAAAGTACTTTAGCCAAGGGCATTTTTAAGTCAATAAGTACCTACATAGTATTTCTGCACATCCAGAACTGCACTAGATCCTGTAGGAGAATCAAACAGAATCCTGAAGCACTCTCTAGAGAATGAGTTACAGAAGTCAATTTTAAAATGTTACACGTGAAGAAAACTTCCCAGGGATCTGGGATTCAGTCTTTTTTTTTTTTTTTTCCCTTCAGACCATAACAAGTGCTCTTATATAAGTCTGACTTTATGTCAAATCTTACTGTCCATGCAAACAAGAGCAAACAAGAGCAAACAAGAAAGGAGGCAGGCAGAACTTTTTGGTTTAGATTTAAGGTTGAGACAGTTGGTGATGACACTTAAACCTTTGAACTTAGGGACTGGAAGAGGTAAAAAAAATTCTTTCCCTTTACAGCGTGAAACTCAGTTCACCTTCTGTCTTTGCTGAAACTGGGGTATCTGCTCCCCTGTGGGAGACTGTCCTCCACTGGCTGCCAGCTCCTCCTCCACTTCCCTGAGCCACCCAGTCAGTTCCTCATAAGTAGACTGGAACTTGGTGGCCAGCTGCCGGGCTTGCTCTAAAGTTCGGAGGGCCTTGGAGCTGGTGACCGTGATGTCTGCATAGCGAGTCTTTATTCCGTCCAGTTTCTCCTGGATAAGCAATACCTCTTCACCTGTGGGGACAGTGCATAATTATTTATATTTAAGAGGATATGAGGGAGTCTCCTTTATCCCCCTTTCTTCGAAATGAGCTTAAATAGATGCTCTCTCCCTATGGAAGCAATTTCACCTAGAATCCCACACTATGGGAAGTGGGAGATAAACCTTCCAACTGATAAAAGAAGCCACTTCTGAGATTATTAAGATCTGAATTCAACTGCAAGTGTTTCTAAATGGTCCCAGCACCTCTTGGTGAATGCTGGCCTTGGACATACTGGAGAGCAGGGGGAGTCATCATCTATAACCAAATGTGAGATAGTATCTTTTAGTTTTCAAAAGATTTAGCAGGAAACAGGACCCCAGGCTGCCAGCCTCCAGGAGCACATGGAAATACAACCAGTAAATAAATACTGAACTTCTTCTACGTACAAAGAGTAGTGGCTAGTGCAGGATGTTTATTTCCCTGGACATGTGCTTGAGTGACTGCAGAGGTGCTGAGAGATGCACTTTTCAAAGTACCTGTGGTTTGTTTTAGAAGAGCCTGACCATTTTTAATAGCTTGATCTACATTCTTCTTTCTATTAATGATTTCTTCATTTAGAGCCTGAAAGGAAAGAATAGCATGAATCTTAAAACTACAGCACAACAAAGGGAAAGAAAGGTGAGACCTTTAGGAGACCAAGTTTAAAGTAAACAGACAAATACCAGTTTAGTTTATACCTTAGTTATGTTATTCCTTATCTCTTTGGTTACCCTATTTATTACTCAAAAACAATTAAATCTGATACTTATGGGCAAGCTAATCCCTTGCACCGGATAAGAAGAGATTAGGATTAAATCAGTTTTACCAATCTACTGGTACCAAACCTGAGCCCAAGAAAGGCAGATGTAGAATTCAGCAAAAATGTCTACTGTGTCCAAAACCAAGACTCAGAAAGTTCAAGAGAAGAAAGTCAGCAAGAACAGGCTGAGTTAAATCAGGATCATGGTTAAAAATTCTTAATATTTGAAGTCAATGAATCAGAAGAATCTTAGATTATTTAAAACAACAAAACAACTGCTTTGCCTATTTTTACTACCCTTAAAGAAATTTCATAAAAATGAGATGAAAAGAGAAAATTGTTCTTTCCATTAAGATGACAAATAATCCTTGGGATTTGGGCACATAAATTCTAGAAATATTTTAGAAGTTACAGCTACATGGTCAAACCTAGGGCGATATTTAGGTATTCTGGCTTTGTCACATTACACTCTCTTTCATAAAACTTCTCAGATGGAAACTGAGTGATACATTACCTAATGATGTAAAACATGAGTTGGAACTGAGATGGTCCCTGACTGTACTCTGGATCATCTTCTAGAATTATTGACTCAGTTTGTTAAGTACGAGTATTTCCATGGACTCATCAAAAAATAGATTAGTCCTTAGCAACAAGTCTATAACTATGTGCTTATGTATAAAATGAAGTCGAAATGTTTGGAATTAAAAGAGAAAGAAATGAAGAGAAACATGAATCAGAATTACAACATAACTTAGTAACATGACCAATAAAAATGGAAAACATGAATACCAGGTGGTCAGCATGCTGTTTCTGCAGGACATCCTGTCTGTAATCCTTTACGAACACTGAACTGAGCTTGTCCTCAACCTCAGCCAGCCAGTTGAGCACCTCCACCTCATCCTCCCCGAACAGTCTAGCGTTACACAGTGCCTGTTCAAGCAGGGCTGCTTTCCGACAGCCCCAGTCTTGAATCTCACTGTATCGGGCCTGCAAGGAGTCTAGCTTCTCTGACAGCACACCCTGTTCTGCAGAGCATGTCAGGGAGGAGAGAGACTGCCCAATTTTGACTGCCTGGTGCACATCTGTTGCATGGCTTTCTATTTCTTCCTCCAGAGCCTGGAAATCCAGATGGAAAAAATGAATAACAGAAACAAAATAAATGAAAAGTAAACATGAAACAATGAATAACAAATGATATAATAAATTAAATAATAGAAAAAGTTCACCTACCAAAGGGCAAAAATAATATAAAAAGTGAGAACAAAAGCTGTTTTTTTTCTGATGGCAGCCTATTAGTCAATTGTTATTTTTACTTCAAGGATGTGACTATGTCAATGAATAATTTGACCATAGTTCAAATTAAACTTTAAAATATCCACCCCCCCCAAACATATCTTCTAGACTGCTATAGGCAGTTAACTTCTGAGATTTCTGACTGCAGTGCTGTGTTCTAATTTATGACAACTCCTCCCTACCTTGTGCCGGATGATCTGCTGCTGGATTTTGGCAGACTGAGTGCCAACAGGCTCTGAGTTAGCAAGCTTTTTCTCCGTGACGGACAAGAAGTCAGAAATAGGCTCAGCTGTCTCATGGAATTGTTTGGCCAGAACCAGGATATCTTCCAGCTGTTTTTGCCTACACAAATATACAGAACAAGCCGCTCAGACAAAAAATCACATTAAGACTGATAATAGTACTATATTCAGTAAAAGACCAATCTTCAGGTACATTTTAAGTATCAATAGTAAACACAACACATATACGTAGCACTTTGTGGTTTTAAAGTTTTTCATAAGCATTGCCTCACAACCTTGTAAAGTAGGCAGAATAATTATCTCACTATGACAAAACAGAAAGCTAACCCTGAAGGCTTAAAGATTTGTCCAATTCACCCAGTGAGTAGTTAACAGTGCAAAGAGGACTGTAATCAGGCCTTCTAATGCTCTTTCTCCTAAGGGACAGAGCACATGCATCATCTGAACATAAGACCAAAATAAAGTTTAAAGGCATCAAAAAAATTATCAGTTTTCATCTCTTTCTCCCTGTCACTGCTACCTTCACTGTGAGTTAAGAGAGCATATGAGGAACAAATGCAGACTATGAGCTAGAACTTCTTCCCCATTTCCCCAGCTCCAGTGATTTCAAGCACCAGAACATAACTCTGAATCCAGATTTAAGGCAAAAAAAATGACCTCAGAGTAGCTGAATTTGCCAACACACATGGCAGTCAAAAGAACTGTAAACTTCACAGCTCACTTAGAATTTTAAGTCCTGATTAATATAACATCCATACTAAGCTTAGATTTCAATATACTAAGCTGCAGATTAAAGGCAGCTAATTACAAAGGGGAGAGGAAGCCTGATAGAGAAGAGAAAGAAAAACCACCAAAGAACTGGATTAGCACACAGGTTAATAATAAAAGGCCATAATGATATCTTTGGATGATTAAGAACAGACTAAATGCAACATCATTTAAAAAGGTCTGGGTATATGATGCACTTTAGTTCAAGAAACCTTTACTGAACATCCACTTTGTGCCAGGTTCTATGCTGTGTACCCTGGACAAATTTATTTTAATAAGAAATGATTTAGAGGTGCCTGGGTAGCTCAGTTGGTTGAGCATCCAATTCTTGACTTCAGCTCAGGTCATGATCTTGGTGTTGTGGGATAGTGCCCTGCATCAGGCTCTGTGCTGAATGTGGAACCTGCTTAGGATCTCTGTCCCTCTCCCTCTGCCCCTCCCTAACTTGTGTGCATGCTCTAAAAAAAAAAGAAAACAAATGATTTAAACGTAAAGAATTACCATTTTAATGATCTGGAAATTCAATTATGTTTAAATATAAAGAAAAACATATTTCTAGATACTATTTTAATTTTTTTAAGTTTTATTATTTTTTAACGTTGAAGAATATGAAGCTTTTTTTTTTTTTTTTAAACAAAGTAAACTCTAGGCTCAAAGTGGGGCTCGAACTCACAACCCCAAGAACAAGAGTCACATGCTCTTCCGACTGAGCCATCCAGGCATCCCTCTTAATGCTACTTTTAAATGTCAGTATGAAGTACAGAATAGTTTGTTTATGCCAGCCTTCAAAATACATCTTCAATTAATACAACTAAAACACATAATCTTAAAGATTATTATTAAACTAGTATATCATTAAAAAAAAACTGGGGGCCCCTGGATGGCTCATTTGGTTGAGCATCTGACTCTTGATATTGGCTCAGGTCACGATCTCACGATCCTGAGTTCAAGCCCCGTGTTGGGCTCTGTGCTCTCTCAAAATAAATAAACTTAAAAAAAAACTTGCCCCTGATTTCTAGGTTTTTCTGACTCATCTCTGGTTTTTGGAATCTGAAAGTTTGAAAAACAATGTAATAGGATTTAGGGTACCAAAGAGTAAAAATAATTCAGCGGTATAAAAAAATCCAATATTAAAGAATCTAAATAAAAGTCTTTAGGATATCTGGAACAAATGAAGCTTCTCTTGGTATTTCTCTTTAAAATACTGACCCAGAAACTGTGTTAGGTTAGGAGGATGGAAGTGGGCAGAAGGAAAGAGTCATAAAAAGATACATTAGAAACAAATCAGCACTTTAATGAGCTTATGGGGCCTATGAAATAAGTACATAAAATAATGACAATAAAAGGTACAAACAAAGAATTACAGCAGTGAAGAGGAAAATGAAGGTATTCCATCCTTGGGGAATAAAGAAAAGTTTCATAGAAGATAAACAGCATGCTTTCTCTCTCTTGTGTCACGGAAGACACAACACTATCAGTAAAGACACAGAATTAGGAACTGACAGAAGATACCTAAGTATATGGTATACTTTACCAATAATACGAGGAGGAGGAACGTGGAAACAAATGTAGATTAGGGCCAAATAACTGAAGGCTTCAAATATTGGGTTAAAGAGTTTAGATTTTGTTTTATAGGCAACAGGGAGTCATTAAATTTCTGAGCAAGGCAAAGGGGAAGCCTGAGGGTAAGTGGCCATAGAGTGATGAGTGATTAGTTCATTAGGAAACTACCTCACATTGAGGAGCCCAAGTCACGACCTGAGGCAGGTGAGTAAGAATTAGAGAAATGGATGAATAGAAAAGACACTAGAGAAGTAAAACGGACAGAATTTAGCATCCTGATAGATGTGGGACACAAAGGAGTGGGGGAGAAAGGGTAAAAAATGGGGTTAAGGTTTTAAACCCAGGTAACTGGAAGGCTAATGATACTATTAATGATTACGCCCAGGTAACTGGAAGGCTAATGGTACTATTAATGAAAATGGACAAAGAAAAAAAAGCAGTGCTATCTGTAAATAAAAATAAGTGTAATTAAAAAAAAATAAACTGAATTCTTTCATTTTTGTTTCTCCCACAAATATAGGGGACAATACTTTGCAACTCTGATAAGAAATCAGCACACTGTGGGCCAGTGTAGAAGAGGGAATTATGACAACTTCTGCTGGCTACCTAGAGAACTGAAAGGCTACAACCATAACTCATCACCTACACTACTCTCATACAGATTTCTAATTGGTGAGCATTTCTTTTTAAAACTGGGGACAGCATAAACTAAAAGACCTTCATGTGACATACTCAGCTGAAGTGATGCTGGGGTATAGCTATGGAGAGAGAAAGCACTTCCTCAGAGGAGAAAAGTATACTGCCTATTTTTGGCCACTTATTGAAGACTGGTCATGCACCTGTCTCTCTTTTTAATATTTTATTTTTATGTTTTTATTTTTTATTAAAATTTTTTTTAAAATTTTTACATTTATTCAGTTTTGAGAGACAGAGACAGAGCACAGTGGGGGAGGGGCAGAGAGAAAAGGAGACATAGAATCCGAAGCAGGCTCCAGGCTCTGAGCTGTCAGCACAGAACCCGACGTGGGGCTCAAACTCACAAACCGTGAGATCATGACCTGAGCCGAAGTCGGACGCTTAACTGACTGAGCCACCCAGGCACCCTTATTTTTATGTTTTTAAAGTAGGCTCCACATGAACGTGAGGCTCGAACCCACGACTTCAAGATCAAGAGTTGTGTGCTCTCCCTACTGAGCCAACTAGGCGCCCCTATTCATGCATCATGTCCATATATTGAACAGAATCACAGACTAGGTCCTGGATGCAAAAACATCTAATATTGGGATAAGCTATCAGAAAAGAAATATGGTAAATTTCAATTCCAAGTATCAAAAGTATTATTTATAAATATGAAGGGGAAAAATCTGTTTCGAAAACTCAGAAAATAACTTGGCTGGATTGTAGGCGTCTGTGTCTGTCGGTTTGGAACCATGATTGTATCACAGCAGAACAGCAACACGGAGCAATGAATCTTCCAGTTCTGAGAAATTCATGGAGTAGCTGAGGCTCATTTCCTGAGAGCTACTGTGATTATGAGGATCATCTCCAAGAACGTATTCCTCCCTCTTCAAGATAAAAGCCATTACACACCTTCCAGAGCTCTCTATGACTCATCCAGGACCTTACAGAGCACTTCAAGTTAAAAACTGGACAAAAAAAACCCTTGTCTGACCCATTCCTCAAAACCCCTTTGCCCTTACCTGGCTGCTGCCTTGTTGAGTAGTCCAGTCCATCTACTTTCAAGACCCTCCAACTGTGTAGTGATTTTCTCTCTATCAGACAGCTCAGCAGACTGGGCTATTCTGCCTCCTTCTGCTTGAAGCATATCTACTGTGGCCTTTCGATCATCAAGGAGCCGCTGGAGCAACTAGTGCACACAGTGTTGAAGGAGAGTGAAAAGTGATAACACAATGTCACTTTGAAATCTGAAATAAGGAAGAAAATACAAGCGAAAGATCCCCAAACCCCCACCCCACCAAATCCTAAACTGAGTTGAATAATGGTAGCTTTTTTTTCATCCAGAGGCAAAAACGTGAGATGCAGCATAGCTCCTAGCACCAGCATAAACTTCACACTCTTACATTTTTAAATAGAGGGGTGACAGTCATTATGCGACTAATAGGGAACTTAGTGTGAATCAGGAGAAAAATGCACTAAAAGGGAAATTAAACCAAGCCAAAAATACAGACAGCACCTTATACATGACACACAACATTATTCAGAATATTGCTGACCCTGAAAACTCCAAAAACCTTGTAACAAAAAGCTGTGCATGAAACACTGGAGTAGAATACACGAATAAATACACCGAACTACTGTTTGGTCCAATGTGTGCCACAGTAAATTGGTAGACTGAAGTAAGATGATGCAAATCAACTTTCACCTTTCTTTTCATGGATTCCTACTAAAACTCCTGAATATACTCCTAAATGAGAAGCCAATGTGTTGTCTGCCACTCCCTACGGCTGTTACAGTTCACTGTCCCAACATTCTCACTTACCTTCTGTTCTTGGATCTGTGCTTTCACCACTTTATACTCGGCAGATGGAGGTTTCTGATTGGCTATGAGCTCCTCAGTGTCTGCCAACCAGCTGAGCAATGGCTCCAAGGCATCTTGAAACTTCCCGCAATGCAACAAAGCCTCCTGCAGTTGTGCAATTCTTTGTGCAACCTGTATCACAGATGCAGGGGCTCGTTGTGAGAGAGGAGAGAGCTTTTTAAATGACTACTGACCCCCCTTTCCTAATTATATTTTCCAACTGCTGAATCTGTATTTGCATTCAGGTTGCAGGGAAACCTACAATTGAGATGTGCCTTTCTAAGCCCTCCATTCCCAATGCACTAGAGTTAGCCCCTCGCCACTCGCCTTTTTGTTCAGTGTGTTCCATCGAGCGTTGATCTCTTCCATGTCATGTTCCAAACCCTGCACATCACAGTTTTTTCCAGCACTCTGAATCAACCCCTGGCCGAGTCCATTCACCTGCTGTAGCTTCATCTGAAGAGGATCCACCTGTTCTTTCTGAAACATCTAGATAATTACAAGCCAAAGTTTTAATCTAAAGGTAGCAACCAGACCCTCTATACCACACAGTGACTGGTCATTCTTGGAAGATTTATGATTTAACCGAGGAGGAGCAGGAATAAAAAGAGAAAACAAGCCATTTGTATAGGGAACTATCAAGGAAACATGCGGTTTCATATTTCAGTACATCCTCCTATGGACAATTACAGAGAGTTATGGCACTACTTAGAGGTCTTTAACCCAATGACTCATGGTTGGTTGGTTTCTGCTTGCTTAATTTTTAATGCAAAAAGCTACAGAGGATAGAGAAAAATCAGCCTCAAGATATCATAAAAGTGTGCTGTCTATCAATCCTAAAAGAGAAGAGTAATACCAAATGACTAGTATTTAAGATTAAAAATACCTTGGGGAATACCTTTAACTGACCACTGATATATGCAACATTCTTCTCTGACTAGGACTCATAATTCAATTAATTAAAACATATTAATGTTGTGAAAAACACCAACCTCACAGTTTAATCCCCCTGTGGTCACTTAATTCCACTCTGTTCCAGGGCCACAGACCACACACTGCTAATAATCTTGAGACAGTATTCCCGAGATTACAAAGGGAAACGGGCCAGTAATATTGGGAAATGTCCTTACCAACTTCATACTCTGAGATGCAGATATACAGAAAGTATTTTTAAAATTATAATACTGTCTACCCATGTTCACCATTAAACAATGGAATTTTAAAACAATGTGAATAAGTGTAACAAACAATGCATGTTTCTCTCCCCTGCAGTTAATAAGATCCATTATGACTTAGAAAGTTCTAAAAGGAAACAAAGAGAAGATAATACTTTGACACTGTAATGGTATTAAAGAAAAGAATGAAATAAATAATTGTCCCTAAGATCAGATTCTTCTCAATTATCAGAGGATAAAATCAGCCACATTCCACACATTCCCCATAGATCCAATGTGGATTTATTTCTATTTTTTTTCTTCTATAAAATGTTCCTTCAGTTTCAGTGAGATAGGTGAGTCAATTAAAGTGAAAGAATGACAGAAAATGGAAGAGGACAAAAATGTAAAAGAAAGATAGAAGTTTGAGGGGCGCCTGGGTGGCGCAGTCGGTTAAGCGTCCGACTTCAGCCAGGTCACGATCTCGCGGTCCGCGAGTTCGAGCCCCGCGTCGGGCTCTGGGCTGATGGCTCGGAGCCTGGAGCCTGTTTCCGATTCTGTGTCTCCCTCTCTCTCTGCCCCTCCCCCGTTCATGCTCTGTCTCTCTCTGTCCCAAAAATAAATAAACGTTCAAAAAAAAAAAATTAAAAAAAAAGAAAGATATAAGTTTGGGTAAGATTAATTTTGACTTATGTGAGACTATAGTTCACACTTGAAGCAGGAAACTTATTCTTGGAAGAATGGGTTATGATGGCTGGATAAGCGAGTCACCAGGGAGGAAAAGCCCCAGGGAACACTAAAAAAGGAAGGTTACAAAGGTAATTACCAGTGGGCTTCATTTTATACTATAATTTGATTACACCATATTTTGTTAGGCAACACTACAAGGCGGTTCAGCTAAAAATGACTGTTTCCCCAACAACAGGGTTCCCAGAAAAGGCAAGCGCTAGGATTCCATTTTCTACTAAAGATGTTTTTTCACTGCAGAAAAATCAAAGCAGAGGGGGGAAAAAACAACTCCCATGTTTTAGGTTGCTTGGGTTCAACAAAATGGTGGTTGGTGATAGGGTGTGGGGGTTGGAAAGGCAAAGAAAGCAGAAAACAAAAGGTAAGGAGGGAAGATGTCAAGCCCACACTGAAGAGCCCCCTTTTATCCAGTAAGCAAGTCTTGTCTCATACTGTGGCATTTAAATTCTTTCTGTGCTTTCCTCTGTGCTTTCCAGTATGGTAGCCAGCAGCTACATAATGCTATTTAACTAAAAATTCAGGTCCTCAGCCACACTAGCCACATTTCATGTGGTCAACAGCCATGTGTGGCTAAGTGCCTACTGTACTGGGCAACACAGATAGAGAGTATCTCCATCTTGGCAAGAAGCTCTATTGGACAAGCCATATAAATGACATAGAAAAGTAAAATATATTTAAATAGCTTAGTAACCTCTTTCATATAATAGAGTTAATTCTTTTTTAAGGAATTCCATTTACTTTGTCAATGAACATTTCATATAGAAACATCAGGGATTCCTTCCTCCATTTCTCAACCTCCACTCTATGGATTAATTTGAGAGGGAATGGGTGTTTCATCTTTTTCCAGAGTTTTAAAAATCTATGAGAGTACCTCTAAATAAATACTAAGTATTTATTTTGAACACAAATTAACAGAATGTTAAAGTAAATTTAAAAACAGTTGCTCCCTTCTCTCAACTCCCAAATAAAGCTGTTCTGCAAAATCAGTGCTTTTAGATGCATTAAAATTCCTACTCCTCAGTATTTCAATGGGGCTGTGCCATGTTATTAACCAACCAGAGCTGGCAGATATTTCCCAGAGCAGAACACTAGCAAAAATTACTGCAAGAGTGTAAGACACAACTGGGACATAAAACAGAAAATTTCCCAAAGAACTTCTTACAACAGTTTTATCTTTGGTAATACCACATTCTCCTAGTTTTTATCCTGCCTGATCCTTTTTTTTTTTTTTTTTTTTTTTTAATTTCCTTTATTCTCTTCCTCCTTCTCTTCTAGAGAGATGTTAGTCTATGGGTGTGGGGATCAGGGAAGGATGTCAGTTCTGGGCTCTCTTCTTGGCAATTCCATCCATTCCCACATCTTTAAATATTAACCATGATGCTTATGGCTAAAATGTGTGTGTGTATGCCCATCCAAGTACTTTAATACTGGCATATGAATGAAATCACGGTACCTCAAAACTTCTCCCTTTCCTCTCCCCTAAAAACTGTTTTTATCTACGTCAACAATTTACTACTGCCCCCATCTGCTCAGTTGTACAAACTAGAATCGAGAAGCCAACCCTGATAAACACCCCTTTCCTTCTCCCTCCTTCTCAACATAAAAGCCATTATCAGGTCTTGTTGATTCTACATCCAACACACACACACACGTATGTATACATATATGTGTGTATATATACACATACATACATGTGTGTATATACATATACACACACACATATATACATACATACACACACACACACAAATATATATATTGTATCCAACCATCTTCAAATCCAGTGACATCTCTCCAGTTCAAGCCATCTGGCCAACTGCAGTAACCTAGCAGGCCTTTCTACTGTCCTTGATCTCCTATAATGCACTCCACATACAGCAACCAGAGTGATTTGTTTTTGAAAACCATTCAGTGTTTTCTATATTTCATGCCAATCATAAGACAAACTAATAAAATATAAGACAAAATAAATCTGAGATTTATAAACCCCAACGTTGAGAATGTTTACTGTCTGTGCAGACTGGTTTGCTCTATCTTCAAGCTGCGAGTAATGTTTTAAAAATGTAAATGAAATCCTTTCGCTCCCCTACTTAAAATCTCTCAACAGCTTCTCATGGCTTTTAAAGTATAGATCCTTTTGAAAACTTCTTAGTCCCTGCATCATCTGGCCTCTTCCTACCTCCCCAGATTTACTTCAAGGCCCTCTTCCAGAACCCTTGCTTACTGTGGGCTAGCCACTTGGCCTTCTTAGAATCCTAACATCCCAAAGTCTTCCCAGCTTCCATTTCCTTTACCTGGCATATTTTTCCCTCTGACTCTCTGCCTAAATAATTTCTAGGTATCCTTCAGGTTTCAGTTTTAAAATCCTTTCCCTGACACAATCAAAATGAAACATCGCTATTATGTATTACAGCCTTTATTTTTCATTCAAAACATTTGCTGTGATTTCTAACTACATATTTGTGTCTCTTTTTTTTAAAGGTTTTTTCTCCCCCCCCCCCCCCCCGGTAATCTCTACACTCAGTGTGGGGCTCAAACCCACCACCCCGAGATCAAGAGTCACATGCTCTTCTGACTGAACCAGCCAGGCAACCCTGTATTTGTGTCTTTTTGCTCAATATTTGCCTCCATTACTGTAGCAGAAGTTCCACAAGGGGAGGGACTATGCCAATTCTATTCACTGCAGGAGCCCCAATACCTGGCACAGAGTAGGTACACAATAAATATTTATCCAGTGAATGAATGAATCCTTGTATAGAAATGGTATTAGGGAAAGCAAACAAATTTAGGAAGGTTCTGCTGATTAGCTGAGCATTCAAACACTGAACTAAGATTGTGAGGCTTCCCAACTTTTGCTGTAAAAGACTTTCTTGGCAATTTTGAATGTTATAGAACCCCTAGTTTTATACCAAAGATTTTTTTCTTCCATTGAAGCAGTCTCTGGAAATAAAACTAAGGAAGTCTGCAAAAGAGAAAAGGGTCTAAATAACCACAGACTGCTCTCAGTGGGCCTGAATTCCACTATAGGGATAGTAAATAAGTTCTAGCATTTTGCTTCTTCCACCGAACTCTCTTGTTAATGCTATTAGAAAGTTTATATCTATTTTAACCATGTATACATGTGTATATTTGTATATACACATACACACACACAGCGTTTAAACTACATTTTAGGTATGATCACTTACTGAGTTCTAAGTGTTTACGTATTAAAATGACAGGTTCAGTTGCCTCTAGGAACCATTTGGGAAGAAATGAAATCCATACATCTCTCATCTTGGAAAAACTTTTTCTCTCAATAATATTTCACTGGTCAGAAAAATATGTATGCTCATGTTACCACTATAATATTTGTTTTGTTTCAATAAAAGTTTTCAAAATAGCCTCTCTACATTCTTATTGGTTAATGTCCCGGCTGGGGTGATGGTTTAGATTTCTTTTGTACACAAATGCAGGCATTTCTTGCTTCCATAAAGTAACCATACTTCAAAGATGGACAACTGTACAGCTGGGCTACCACTGTCCTCCTGTTGTTTGTATCAGGCAGTATTTCATAAATGATTACCCCCCTGGAGCTGGAGGAAATCC